CCGGACTGTCTGTTACTTCACCCCATTTAAGATTGTACCATCTGGCTTATACTGCCTCTCATTCTTCCTCACAAAATGCATCACTTCGCATTTCTCCTCATTAAGCTTCATCTGCCATATGTCTGCCCATTTTATCAGTCTGTCTATGTCCATTTGCAGTCTGCCACTATCCTCCTTATTGTTTGCTACTTTTTCTAGCTTAATATCATCTGCAAACTTGGAAATTGTACTCCCTATACCCAAGTCAGGACATTTATATAGATAAAAAACAGCAGTGAGCCCAATACTGACCTCTGGGGGACACCACTGCACACTCCCCTCCAGTCAGAAAAACAACTGTTCACCACCACTCTCTGCTTTCCGTCTCCCAGTCAGTTCTGTATCCATGTTGCCACTGTCCCTTTAGTACCATGGGCTTCTATTTTGCTTACAAGTCTCTTATGTGGCACTTTATCAAACACATTTGAAAATCCATATAACTACATCAACTGCACTACCTTCATCCACCCTTTCCGTTACGTGATCAAAAAACTCAGCCAGGTATGTTAGACATGACTTGCCTTTAACAAATCCGTGTTGGCTGTCCTTTATTAACCCATACTTTTCTAAGTGAAAATTTATTTTGCCCAGAATTATAGTCTCTAGAAAACTATAACGTAGTATACTGTAACGTAATGACTGGGTATTCTATAGGTGAAACTTGGCAGCTAATTTTCACATAGCAATGTCCCATAAACAGGCATGAAGTGAATGACCAATTTTAGTTGGGGGATTTATTTCCATATCATAAGGAAAAAGAAACAGAGTCTGTCAGACCTCAAAATTGTTGTCAGAACAGCCAGAGCTGACTTATTCAGTATTCGATGTGTTAATCGTAATCGGTGTGTTGATTTAATTTAATTAAATTGAAAAGGGACCTTTATGGTCAGGTTTTATGCACAAAATAAAACCTGAGTATTTATCGGGGGTGGGGTGAGTCGGGGTCTATTTTTATCTGACACAAAAGGGGAGAAAATCAGGGAGAGAATTTAACACAAAAAATGCCAGATAAATTTGGTGAAAATCAGGATTTATTTTGAAACAGTCATTTACCTCATGCATCAGGATAATCACCTGTCTGTAATATTGGTCCAATAAACAGGCTTGAAAGCTTGTTCTGGTATTGAGCTGATTAGAAATCCTCTTAATTGCAATGCTGTTCCCAGGAATCAGCTCAAAAGCTGATCCCAGTGTTGTTAGGGCAATACCTGAACTAGCTTTGAATGTATTCCTGACAATGAAGCCAAACGAGTTTCCTTTTTTTAATCAACAACAACAGCAGCAACTTTGCACTTATATAGCACCCTCCACGCCAGACGGCATCTCAGGGCACTTAATCGATTAATCTTTAGCAAAAATAGAATGTTTATTGGTGAAAATCAATTTAAAAAATTGACCAAAAACCAACACTGAAATGATGTTGATCCACAGGGAAGTAGATTCAGTGGAGCTGCCTTGATGGCTAAAATGGAGAGCTTTGAGTCAAACCATTTAACAAGTGGTGAGCAGTGTTTATCTGTGGAAAGACATTCACTGAGACATTGTTTGATCAGTTGGGAAGAAGTTTCACATATTCTGAAACTCCTCACTATTAAGGGTACCCAAATGAAACTACTGAGAATTCTATCTATACACAGACATTTCTGTTTGTACGGAATGGAGTGTGCACTCCTTATCTAGATGGATGCATGCTGCTCAACTAATCTTGCAAAATGTAGGTGCGAGTTGGCAAGAGCCAAGGTTTGGAGACAGCAGAGTGTGCTTTTTAGATGTCTAGACTTTAACTTGTTAAAGATATCAATGTGTGGGAATTCTGATGATGTGATAATTGTCAGCAGTGATAATTACGCATTAAATGTTATATTTTTTCACACCATGGTGTTGTTGTCAACAATCACAGTGCAGATAATTTGAAAGTACAGTTGATAACATCAATTGTAATCAGTTTGCTACTTGTAAAGTCATTCATTCACATATTCCTTACCTACAGTGCAGAAATGATTCTGTACCTTTCTGGCACTTTTGTTAGTCCTCAGCAGTGAAGGATGGCTCCCCGAATGGGTTGGGATTGTTATGTAAAAAGAGGGCAATGATTCATGGGGTGGGAGGGGTTCTAAAAAAGATCAGACAAGTACTCCCCCCACCCCCCCCCCCCCCCCCCCCGAACTCCTCAACCTCCTGCTGGATCAAGAGGATCTTTCACGGCTTCCACGAGATCCGCCAATCGACTAACAATGGGTTCCTACTTACTGCTAGGTAAACAGAGGCATGTGGAGTAAGGAAACTTGTTCTCTCGTTATTAATCACTCTGCTATGGGACTCACTACGCTATGGTAATAACCTACCGACTCAGGGGCAAGAGTGATTCTAACTGATTCGTGCTGAGCCAGACTAACACTATAGGTCCCTTAAGGAAAAGGGAGCTGATGTTGTTTTGACTGGTTGCATGTCCAGATGGAAGATCGTAGGGTCAATTTTACACAGCTATGGCTTGTCATATCTGTCCAACAGTCCTGTCAGTTTTGTCGACAGTGAATTAGAAGCATTGTAATTGTATCTATTTTAGACTTCACTGAAGCCTGCATATGGTAACATGTCACTGTTTCTTCTTCCCTCTAATAATCCCGACAGCTGTTGTTGTATAATTGGGGGGTCTAACAAGTGATTTAAATTTAGAAATATAGTTTAGGAAATATTCAGATATGCTGGAGATGAACTCGATCCTGACACAATGTCAATGCTCGTAGGATTTTCCACCCCTAGCGATGTCCCAGTCAATAGTTGATTGCAGATGGACACTGCTACCATCCCCAACTTTGTCAAAAGGTTGGGCCCAAAGTTGCTTGCAGGAGAATCATCATCAGTTTTAACAACAAAGCAAAGTAGAGTTTTTTACTATGCACCAAGCTATAGTATACATGACATGACAGCCTCTCATCCTATCACCGGGATTGTGAAAAGTAGAAGAATGTGCTGATGTTTTGCTGAGCATAATAATACTGCAAAAGAAACAGGTCACAGAAAGCACCTTTGCCTTGGACACATTTTATTAAAAAAAATTTTAATACCACTTGTATTGGTATTTTAGAAGAAATGTTGCCTTAAAAAATTAGAGAGCTAACAGTATTCAGATTGTTATGGAGTCCAAGAGTTTTTTAATCCTCACAAAAGTAAACTCAAGTATGAATTATTTGATAAATATTTTACTCGCAGCCTTACCATTCTGTCAGCTGGATTGATGTCAAGAGCGGACAGGCAAACAAGCAGTTTGCTGTTTAATTCACTAAACTATTATGTCCCCAGAACCTTCACGTTTCCATTCAAATGTAGAAAATTAACATTGTTTTCATAAAAACAATATTTTTATTTATTCCTTCAATTATATGTTTCTTATTTCTCCCCTCTCTTCAGGTTTTCTAGTCGCTTCTGTTTCAATTGTTAATTATCCTGTACCCAAGAGAGCAAACAGATGACCTGACCAGAGTCCTCCGGCAATATGGTTAAAGAAGACCTGAGGTGAATCATCTTTTTTTTGTATAGGGACACAGCTGCTTGGAGTTCCTCCCAGTGCCCTGACCAAAAATCCCCCAGATACAATTGTTCATTCACTTCATGGCTGTTTGTGGGGTATTACTGTGAGCACAATTGACTGACATGTTCACTTACACAGTCACTACACTTTACAGTAAATCCTGTGGAATGTTTTGAGACATTTCAACAATGTGATTAGGTGAAATATCAAGTACAAGGATTATTATTATTCCGCAGACATCAGGTGCTTTCTGCATAGCAAATAGTGGATACAAACCTACGTCATTTTGCTCCAAGCCACAAATGTTCTCTTGAGATTTAGTGAATTTTTTCATAGTAAAATTATGTTTAAAATTATAATCTTTGGTTTACAGTAAGCACAATATATACATTGGGGGAATGGAAGGAAGATTGAGGTAATTTAATTAGCATATCTTACCTGATTGCTGAAAGTTAATATTTTGGTCTGGGATAATGGCCCTCCAAAGTAGCACATCACTGGAAAAGCAATATTAAACAAAAGTCAACAGCAATATACAGCCTACAATTAACAAAATAAAATTGCTTGTCTCAAGGTCAAAAAATGGTGACAGTAGAAGCGTGAGAGAGGGAGAGAGGGTAGAGAGGGACGCCACCTGCTGGTGTTCCTTGCATTCCTTAAAGAATGTAAGGAATAATATAGGATTACTGCAAAATTTACCCCTATAATTCCATCATTTGCACTCAATGGAAGAGATATTACAGTCACCATGATCTCAAAATCTCTTGGCTACTCTTTACAGAGTGAAACATGACGGAGACTTGGAACATGAACAAAAACAAATCAGAAGACAAACAAAACAATAAAACAAAATAGTCATCACGTGCAATTCATTTGATAAACTGGATTAGTAACACACAATAATAAAATACATATTCTTGAGAGAAGGTGTCTCAAAAGGGATGTTATAAGGGTGTACAACATTTTAAATGGGATTGAAAAAGTAAACCCAGAACAATACTTTAAGATACAATATAATTAACATTTATATAGTGTCTTTCAGATCAGGAGGATGACTCAAAATGCTTCACAGTGCTGGATGAGCACCTGAGCTGGTGGGAGCTGAGGGGTTGGGAGGAGAAAGATGACTGGAAGTCTAGTCAAAGGTGACGTAGATTTAGAGTTGCAAAGGGCAATTTCAGGAGAGATATCAGGAAGTGCTTCTTTACCAAGAGGATAATTAACAATTGGAACAGGTTGCCAAGAAGGGTGATTGAGGACAAGACAGTGGACTAATTTATCAACAGTTTGATACAGTAATGTAAGGGTGGTAAGGAGGGTGTTCTGGAGAGATGAGATCAGATGGGCCGAAGGGCCTTCTTCATCCAAACCAATCTAGTGATCTTGTAAATGTTATTTTGTTGTCACAAAACTCAACTGCTGTCCATGCACAGCACTCCTTAGTGGGTTAATGTGTAACTATTATGATTAATCATTACAGTAGGAATTTGATCCCACTGGAATATGCAGCTGTTTCTAGGATTTTGGTGATTTGGTAGATCAGAACGATCAAATTCCAAGCCAGCCTCCATGCAAGTACACATGCTTTGTTTATTTCTTTGTTTCTTTCTTTGTGTGTGCATATTCATTTGAATTTTGCACTTCAGCTAAATCACATTCTTCTTCAGAAATAAAAAGGATGAATAGCAATAAAAATTATACCCTTAATGCTGAAACACCACAGCCAGGAAAATGGGAGGTAAGTGCCTCAAACTTGTGACTTCTCATCTTTTGTTAAGTCCTGTTTACATGGTCAGTGCCATTGTGTGGCTTTTTCTCTTTGAGTTCAGGGCACTTTTCCGAGTCCTGTTTGTTAAAGGTTCTTCAAATAGCAAATGATCTTCAAATTTTACCAATAGTGTCATGCAGACAGTAACTGAGCAATATAAGGTTAAATTGGGAAATGTGATCGTAGAATTACACACTTTTGATTTTTCACATCTGAAACCGTAGCTAAGACTAATTACGTAGATTTACCTAGATTGCATAGCACAGAACTATTCCATGTCAGTGTTCATAATCGCCTTGAGTCTCCATCACTCCCACACCTTTTTATTCCCTTCTCCTTCATGTGTATATCTAGCTTCGTCTTAAATGTATTTATACTATTCACTCAACCACCGTTTTGGGCAGTGAGTTCCACATTCTCTTTACCTCTGTTTGAAGTAGTTCCTCTTAAATTCTCTTTTTAGATCCCCAGTCGCTATCTTTTCCTTGTGTTCCCTGGTTATCGACTCCCCAACAAGTGGGAACAGCCTATTTATTCTAACCTTATCAAACCATATCATTTGAATCTGGCGAGGATGTGATTCAAGCCCAAGTATTCTGGCTCGGAATCGGGCTCGGCCACTGTTAAGCACTCTGAAACACTACCCTGCATGGAGGGCATTATGTAAGTGTAAGTGGTTGTTGTTATTATTGTATTCAACCACAGGAAAGCAAAATAGCACAGTCAATTTCTGCCTTCGCTTGATGACCACATTTTCCAGAAAGTTCCATTGGTTTTAATTTGGAAGCTAGTTTTCTGAACAAAAGTTCTTCCAAACTATGACAGAATGTAAGATTTTTCTACAATTCTGCGTGTTCTGAAATTTTACAATAAAAGGATCTTTCAGGCTGAGACAATTGGAATTTCAGACCTCAGAATTTCTGTTACCAAATTCAAAGGAAAATGACATCCTGAAGCTTGTCGATTTGGTTTGTCTAGAAGCATAATTGCTGCCATTGCATTGTTCATGAATTAATGTATTTTCTTCTCACAATGAAACTAGGCCATACACATGGTGATGTGCAGCAATTCTTTTGTTACAGCTTCCAGGATATGAGACAGCATTCCCCATCACAGAGCAATCCAACCCCATCACAAAAAATATAGATACCTCAGATCCTTTTCAGATCGTTCAATTTTTAAAAGAATGTGATGCTGAAATATTTCAGGAGGAGGATGAAAGGATCAGTAATTACAAGGTAAATGTATTCCTTATCTCTTTTGCGGTGTTCAATTAAAAATACAAATTGAGATGGGAGGGAAGGAGGGAAGGTTTTATACAAAAGCTTGGTTGGACCATATTTGGAGCAGTGTGTCCAATTCTGGTCTCCGCACTATAAGAAGGATATATGTTCTCTCTTCGAATAGTGCTTTGGGATCTTTAACGTGCACCTGACCAGGTAGTCGGAGCTTCGGTTTAACATCTCACCCGAAAGAAAGCGCCTCCAACAATGCACTACACAAAGTATTAGCTTTGACTACATGAGTTCAAAGTTCTGAAGTAGGGCTTGAACTCCAATCTTCTGACTCAGAGGTGACTGTGGTATCAATTGAGCCAACCTCACACACATTGTACATATGTCAAAGCATAGGGCAAGTCAGGAGGTGTCCAGAAGGTAGTTTTCCTACCAAGGCTGGTTTATAAGTTTGAGGAACCTTTAAATATTTATGATTTCAAGTCTGACGATAACGTTGCTATGGGTAACAAAAACAGAGCATATCCAACTTGCACTTGTGACAATTGCTTTTCCTTCAAAACATCTTATTGCAAGTGGCAACTAATCAATATGTCTTTTGTTTTATTCACAGAGACTGTATAGTAAATCTATTTTAAAAGCAATGGCAGACGTTGCCAAAAAGGCACAAGAGCTCCTGAAGGTACAGTCCATATCTAAATGATCTTCTTATGACCTTCAGCAAAACAAATTTGCATTTTCTTAAATAAGCTTTCAGTGTGGCAGAGAACATGTATCATAAAGACGTTGCAATAATTCATTGCACGAGACTCTTCTGATTGGCTCCCGTCAGCACCTCCTCACCTCAGGTGCTGACAGCATTACCATCATGGTTGCACACTCCACCTTGCTAAGCCAGTCTGAAATCTTGGGGTCTTGTTTGACCCTCAACTAGCCTTTCTACCCCACATCTGCACCATGACCCGCTCTACCATCCCCCACCTCCACAACGTCGCCCAGCTCCGGCACTGTCTCACACCGCAGGCCGCCGAGACCCTCATACACACTTTCTTTATATCGAGGCTCGACTATGCAAACTCACTGCTTGTCGGCCTCCCCAACTCCTCCATCCACAGGGTGCAGATCATCCAGAACTCTGCAGCCTGTGTTCTCTCCCTCACTAGGCTCTGTGACCCTATCAACCCCATCCTTGCCCAACTCCACTGGCTTCCCGTCACACAGTGGATACAATTCAAGATCCTGGTACTCACCTTCAAAGACCTCCATGGTCTTGCAGCCCCTACCTCTCCAACCTCCTAACCCCCTACCATCCTGTTCGCTTCCTCTGCTCAGCGGGCTCCGGCCTGTTTCACATCCCCCGCCTTAATTGCCCCACTATCAGCAGGCAGGCCTTCCGCCACTCTGCACCCACCCTCTGGAACTCCATCCCGCAGTCCCTCCATCTCGCCCCCTCCCTCGCCACCTTCAAGTCCCACCTCAAGACCCTCCTCTTTGACCGTGCTTTCAATCTCCCTGCTTCCCCCCCTGTCCTCCACCCTCCCCCACCCTGACCCTCAGCTCGGGTCCTTAACTCTGTCTGTCCAGCGCCTTGGGATGTCCTCCCAATGTGAAAGGCACTAAACAAATGTCATTTTGTTGTTCTTGTTGTATTCTGATCGAGAACGTGCACTCACACAGTGTAATACAATACATCTGGGATCAGGGAGGGTGGAGGGCAGAGAGGGTAGGAGGGTGGCTGAAAGCACAGTCAAAGAGGAGGGTCTTGAGGCAAGGAGGCAAGGGAGGGAGTGAGGCGAAGGGAATGTGGGATGGAGTTCCAGAGGGTGGGGGCATAAAAACTGTAGGCCCGACCACCGATGGTGGGGTGGGCCGGGTGGGGGACATGAAGCAGGCTGGAGCCTACTGAGTGGAGGGAGCGGACAGGTTGATAAGGGGATAGCAGGTCGAGGAGGTAGGAGGGGGCAAGGCCATGGAGGGTCTTGAAGGTGAGGATGAGAATTTTGAACTTGATCCTCTAGAGGGAGGAGGAGCCAGTGGAGCAAAGTGAGGGTGGGTGTCATGGGGTCACGGAGCCTGGTGCAGGAGAGCATATGAGTCATGGCATGGATGTGGGGGAGAAAGGACAATTGAGGGTCGAACAAAATTCCTAGGTTCCTGACTGGCTTGGTGAGGTGGAGTGTGTATCCTTGGATGCTGATGCTGCCGGTGCCTGAGGTGTGGAGGCGCTCACACAAGCTACTCAGGAGAGCCTCGGTCTTTCTGATGTTCAACTGTAGAAAATTGTCTCTCATCCAGGTCTCGATGCCTGACAGGTAGTCTGTCAGGACATCAGTGGTCCTGGGATCAAGGGCGGAGGCCAAGAGATAGAGTTGGGTATCATTCGCGTATATGTGGAAGCTGACCCCATGTCTGCGGATGATGTCACCAAGAGGAAGCGTGTACAGGTTGAAGAGGAGAGGACCGAGGACAGAGCCGAGGAGAAATTCCAGACAATGGCGGAGGGAGCAGGCTTCACTGGGGATTTGATGATGCTCAACAGTGCAGGCAGTAAATAATGGAGAACTAGTCAGATTATTTTATAGCTCCCTGAATCTTATAAAAGGGAGCATTGACAGAGGCCTTGAGCAAGCCTGAGGTAGGTTCCTGTTCACTCACACAGACAGGGCACAGTGTCATGCACAAATACAACAAACATCAACAACAAATTACATTTGGAGAGCGCCTTTCATGTTAGGAGGACACCGCAGGCTTTTACAAAAGTTTTGCGGCATTTTAGCATGAGTCTTCATTCTTCCATTCCAATGACCGAGAACTCACAGCAGTTTCTGTTTGCCAGTTTTCAATCTCTCCCCTGAGCAAATCTCACTTGCAATCAAAGATTGACATAAAGCAAACCACTAGTGACCCCAGAATACTTGTTGGGTTCTGGAATTAAACTCACTAAAAACACACAGTTTATCTGTACTAAGCTCTGGTAAGATTCTTGTCACTTGCTAAGCTGGGACCAAAGTACCATTAGGGCATTGGCTTGCAGGTCCATGAGCAGCAGATTGGAAAGAATCCTACTATCCCTTTTGCTCACTGAATAATGAGTGGAATTCTTCCCCTTGGTCCTGGAAACATTGTAAGCCAATGCCACACCAGATCAATCCATGACCAGAAGAATGGCCAGTCACCCTGTTCCCAAAGCCACTCCAAAATTTACTACTAGTGTTCTGTGAGAGACAGTTAGATATGAGCCCACATAGCACCACAGGATGATAATTCAGTATGTGAAGAGTGGAGATGCAAATCAATGTCATTTTACTCCAATTGCACAACATGGTGATTCTCCAAAACATTGCTTCAATGTGCTTCTCTGTGTGAAACACTCCTCTGCCCAAAGCATTGACTGTCCAGCGCCTTGGGATGTCCTCCCGACGTGAAAGGCACTATACAAATGTAATTTTGTTGTTGTTGTTGTTGAAGCTAATCTTGCAAGTTGGAAGAATGTCTACCTCCATTGACCAGTCTGTCACTCCAATTCTTCCTGACAACCGGCCTGGCTCAGCAACTGGACTAAAGAGACTATCCCAAAGGATTGACTTGATTCTGATAGTCCATTGCTAGGCATGTCACCTTGGAACCAGCTCAGAATCAAAGAGACAAAAACAGAAGTTGCTGAGAACACTCAGCAGGTCAGGTAGCTTCTATGGAGAAAGGAAAGTGAGTCAACGTTTTGGGTCCACGACCCTTCGTTAGAACTGGGGCATATTAGAAGGGAGAGACTTTGAAAGACTAACAGAGAAGGGGGAGGCAGGGCAAGGAAGACTAAGGAGAAAGTGGGGTAGAGGACAGGGGATGATGGGATAAAGAGGTGTTAATGATGCAAAACAAGGGGGGAGGGGGAATTGCAACAAAACAGACAGACTAGAGAGAGAAAAGGTGTGTCTGGGACCCAGATGATGTGGTAATGGGCACAGAAGAGGAGGAGGGGGAAGGTGAGCTGTTATGATTGAGGAACAACTACTGTAGTAGTTATGCTACTTGGGACTTACCATTGCCCCAAGCAGTAACACTACTACAGTAGTTGTTCCTTAGTTTTGAGCACTCACTAAATGGATGCCAGGTATTAGGAACTCCTTGTGAGCTTCCTGATGAGCAGCACAGCTCAGAAAAAAATGCATCAGTGGATTGGCATTTTCCTCCTGCCCAAAGCTCGGATACATATGCCTACCTATCGAGCAATGGGTCCACCTGTTGGAAGTGCAGAGCTTCAGCACCTAAATAAAACAGCAGTGATTGTAACCTTCAAAATGAGCCTCTCAAAGAATAAAGTCTTACTTTAGTTATGACTGATGCAATTATTATCAGCTATAAAGATCTTACTGATGTGATGTAGAGTGAAGATGTAGAGAGTTTTTTTGATTTGAGATGTTTGAACAGCATGGAGAGATTAATGCATTTGTAATCCTAAATTCATTCTGAATGTTTTCAGGAACCTGATGACAATCTCATTGTGCTAAGTGGATGTGGAACTTCAGGAAGATTAGCATTTCTACTTGCTGTATGTATTTACCACCACTAATCTCATCAGTTAACTTTGTTTGCGTATATCTATATGTATCTATACATATTTACATACATGTCTGCCCTCTATTGGGCTATTTAGTAACTAGCACCGTATAAGACATAGCATCAACTGTTGTTTTCCTTTTAGTTTCCATTCTCTCAGTGGATCAATTTCAAGTTCCTCACCCTCACTTACAAATCCAACCACTCCTTATCTGTCAGATCTTCTACCCAATTCCTCTGCTCAGCAAACTGTATTTTTGTGTGGCCAAACCTTTACTGCCAACCTCTCTGGAACTCCCTCTCTCTCATTTCCTGTTGCTCCCTTTTTGTATTTACGTCCCATCTCAATTCCTATCTCTTTGAACACATTTATGGCCAACTTTCCCTCTCCCTTCTCCTGTCCCCAAAAATCATACCATGATGTTACCCCAAGTGAATAACACTATATAAATGTAAGTTGTTATTGCTGTAGGTAAATTGGGACATTCATTGTACAAGGGTCCTAGCATGCACATTTGTAGAAAATGTGGGTTAAATGAGAAAATTAGTGTTAGAGAGAAGCAGATTTTGCCCACAAAATGCACAATGTTCTTTACAATATCTTCTGTGAAGCGCTTTGAGAAGTCTCAATAACGTGATACGGCTCCCTTATATCAAATGCAAGGATCTTACTCAGTCACCTATAGTGTGTCATCTGGAGAGATTCAAAATGATTCAACATTACAAATTAAAAGGTGTTATTTTTTATTATTATTATACTAAAGACATCTGGCAAGATATAAATTGAATGGTAGAATTGTTTGGAAGTGGTCAAAATCCATTTTTTTTTATTGGTCCAGTCTTCCTTCAACAACTTGCTGAAAGGACAGTCCAAAAAAGCAAGCTACTGCTATACTATTGCAGGAGGAGACAAGTAAGTATGGACATTGAAATCTGGCATTTGTATTTGAAAAAGTTATTCCCAAACAAGATCTTATTCGGTTATTGGTTGATCTACAGGGCACTCATGACATCTCAAGAACTGCCGGAGGACAATCCAGAGTTAGGAATAGAAATGTTGGAAAAGGTGAGAGTTGCATCTATACATTATTAGGGTGAAAAATGCAGTATGTGATGCGATAATTAAAACCATGTATAATTATCACATTTTGATTCGGAAGGGCATAAAACAATGAAAAATAATTAAAAAGTTGCAGGAGCTCAAACCAAATATTACTCAACAAAAGTGATCTCTTTTGCATATGCTTCACCTAGAGATGTCCCAGTGATAACTGTTATGAGGGTATACCCATGCGGAAACCCAATGTCATCACATCACCAATTCAAACCAAACTGAGAGTTCCAATCATTCCTCCTATACATGGAAATTCTTGAGATATTTATTGGAATGGAATGTGCATTCTCCAGCTGTAGGGACATATCCTGCTTACTTAATTCCTGAGAGTAATAAGCGCAGATTGGTAAGAGCCAAGGCCAACCAAGAACCCCAGAGTGTAAGGGTGGAGTCGAATCAACTAAGACTACATAGCTTGCCACGAAAGTAATCACCTGGCGAGCTTTCCCTCTGCTTCTTCAGCTAGGACCATTCCTGTTAGCACTTTGGCTTACAGGATTAACAGGAGCTGAGTTGGAGAAATCCCTTCCCCCAGTGATTGATCTGCCATTCCAAGTCCTACCAATGAGTGATCAGCTGTAATGAGCAGTGCCCTGGAATACTGCAGATCCGCCTGAGTCAGGACTGGACCACCGAGGGTAGGCTTGATTCTAACAGTCAGCAGTTCAGCACCAATAGATACCCCACTTACCTCTCCCCCTCCCCCCCCCCCCCACCGAAGATAGTCACTATTTAGGTATTTGACATCCAACAAGCATGGGTTTGAGCCGTCACTTGGTGGATAGCAGGTACCAAGAAATCCCTGCGAGCTTCCTGATGAAGAACATAACTCAGCACAAAATGTATGAAAGTATTGCCTATTGCCACCATCTTCCTGCCCACAGATCCCTTCTCACTAACCGATGGTTCCACCATTGCATCATTCAAGTTCACAAGAGGGGTGAGAAAGCATACTGAGCACAGAGGAAGGTAGCATTCTTTCAAAGGCTGTATATCAGAGAGGGTTGACATATAGAACATGTGCAATTCTCAAAGGCAATTTACAATGCGCAATTTTGTCAGAAATCAGCCTTTTCAGTAATGGCATATTTTTAAATGGAAGTCTGGACTTTCCCAGTAGATTTGTGCTTTTTTTTATAGGTCCAGAGTGCAGCTGCTTTTGAAAGCCAGGCCCTTATGATGGATTTTCATCAACAGAAATATTTCTAAAATCAGCTGCATGACAGCAGTAATTTATTTAAGTTAAGAAAATGTTTTATTTATTTTATAGATTTCACAAGGGAAAAAAAAAGTATTATTCATTGGGATTTCATGTGGGTTATCGGTAAGTATAATGACATTCCTTTATTATTTCACTTTATGAGTGTTTCCTATAGCCGCTCTGTCTATAAAATTAAATATATAACATGTATTTAAAATAATTATAAAAATAATAATTTTATTTGCAATTTGACTGCCAACAAAATTCACGCTGCCCCCTCCCAGAATAATAATAATAATAATCCTTGCATTTGATATAGCGCTTTTCACGTGTTCTAGAAGTCCCAAAGTGCTTCACAGAATATACTGTAAAGTGAATTGACTGTATATTTGTGGGCGAACGCGGCAGCCAATTGCGCACAGCAATGTCCCACAGACAGTCGTGGATTGAAAATAACCAATTTATTATTGTTTGGTTTTTTGGAGGATTATTATTATTAGAACTAGAACTGAACCCGCTTTATAACAAAGCAGGTTTTAAAGGAGATCTACTTAGTTACTCCTTTCTGCTACCGATGGAACTTTACACAAATATGTAATAACATTAAAAATTGATTACAGGAATGTTTCTGTTGTGGGTATATGGATAAGATTTTCACAATCATCACCCCATGTTATATGAGCAGCTTAACTATTGTGTTGGCTATATTTGGTTTAAAGTTGCACAGAAAGCTGTTTCTTGCCTTTAGGCTCCATTTGTTGCTGGCCAGCTTGATCTCTGCATCAATAAATTGGACAAGTTCACTCCTGTTCTGGTTGGCTTCAACCCAGTTAACATGGCAAGGTAAGGAGTATCGTCTTAGCCAAAATAAACAAGATCACAAGTTCACAAGATTGGTTGGAATGAAGAAGACTGTTCAGCACATCCAATCTCATCCCTCCAGAGCACCCATTCTGACATTCCCTTATCACAGCATTAAACTGCTTCTTAAATGAGTCCAGTGTCCTAGCCGCTACCACCCTTTCTGGCAACCTGTTCCAGTCGTTGATTACCCTCTATGTAAAAAAAACTTCCTGGTATCTGTCCTGAAATTTCCCTTAGCATTACTAAACAATTGCACATCATTCGATTGCATTTGATGAGATATACAATTATAAGCCATTTGTTCTTGTTTCAGTAAATAGATTCATTTACAGAATTTTGCACATTTAGTATCAAACAGCCATCATACTCTTTATAGATTTGATGACTCACTCTCCTCTCGTCTATAGTGTTTTTCTAGTCTTATTTTTTAAAGTGTGGGCGGCTCCATTCAGGAATAATTAATGCAAGAGCTGGTTCTGCTTAAAAACAACTTTTATGCTATTTACAGTTTGTTTCATTCTAAGTACCCTATCCCTCTGCCTCAGAAGGTTGTGGTTCAAACCCACATCAGGACTCAAGCACATAGAGCAAGCCTCTGTGAGAGGGAAAGTCTCAACTCAACAGTCAATTCACTTTACAGTATATTCTGTGAAGAGCTTTGAGACATCTAGAAGACGTGAAAAGCGCTATATCAAATGCAAGGATTATTATTATAACACCCTATGAGCAGGTGAAAAACACTGATGTGGGTTCTGTTAAAAAAAGTATTATTTGGTCTAAATTCACCATGGTGATGGAAATTGTTTTGTTTTGTTTCGCAAGAACAATAATCGCACAGTTACCTATTTCATGTTTGAGCAACAGGCATTCAAATGGCTCTTAAGCATGGATGTAAGATGAAATGTTTGCAAGATTCAGCATGGAGTATTCAGTAATCAGTGTATTGTCTAACCATGCATTGAAGATCCGACAATATAGAAGGATGGCACTCGACTTTCCAACAAGTGGCAGAAAGAATTCAGAAACTGCATGATTTGCACAAGGGATACATCATCAACCCTGCTATTGGTGTGAGTGTTTATTCAATTAGTTTCTGAACAGTAACTTTATATGACTAGAAAAGGTATTATTTAGTAAAGTAAATAACGCCTTGAAGCAGTTAACTTGCTGACATCTCTAGCAATGAGATCTCAATCATGAGGCCCAGTTACTTTTACAGTGCAGAACTGTTATAGAGTGTCTCAGTATAACAAGGCCCGGATACAACATAGAATCACAGTGGACCCAAAGTGTCATGCAACCCTAGAAATAGTGGTAAGGAGGAATCAGTGCTGACTGGCCAGATTCCTACTCAGGTCACGGAAAACCAACAGGATTCAGTGATGCCAGTAGTAACATCCCGGAAGTAAGCACGAGTGGCCACGCTGTAATGCGCTCCATTATGACGCGGTCTAATTTTCTAACTACCATCTTATAATGGAGCTAGACTAATTAAAGTTGTACTCGTTCAATGAAGTCATTGCTGACCATTCTTCCACCACGCTAATTCCTGTTACAATAAATTGTGTTCATATAGCATCTTTCACCTAAAATAAAATATTTGAGACTCATAATTACATGAGTTATTATGCAGAGAATAGAGAACACCCAGCAGTGATTATATGCTAGGTACCAGGTATTGTCATCTTGTGTGAAGTAGTAGTTCACTGGGCCTAAATGCTATTAAGTGACTAGAATCACAGATGTCTATATCCCACTACAATCTCAGGCTCAAAATCCCACCCAGTCTTAGCTTGTCAGACCGTATTGTCTTAGAATGTAATGTCTTGCAGAATTGTGTAAATTCTTCAATTCAGCCGGTGCTTTTCAAGAATTGTGAACAAAACGCTTTCAAACTAAGACTGATTTTTTCATAATATTCAGTGCAGTGGTAGCGGGGCGGTAGTGTGGGCGTTAGTTAACAATTTCAAAAAATGTTAAACTGTCTATATTCAAACTTAGTGTCAGAATTGCCAGCAATTGCTTTCATACCCTAATTTCTATGGAAAATGTATATGCTTATGTTAACTTTTGTAGAAATAATCAATTATATGAGGAGGTGATGAGATTGGATGGCCCGAAGGGCCTTCTTCTTGTGATCTTATTGCGCAATCAAAAATGTTATGACAAAATGGTCTCCCAGGTTGAGAGTAGGTATAATTTCAGACCTAAGACGTTCCTAGATGTTAATGTTAAAACAAATTAAATGACAGTAAAAGAATGCAGCAAAAGAATCCCTCAAATAGACAAATATATTCATCTAATATTCAATCGTCGAACCATTAAACGTAATTTATATTTGGAAATATCATGCTTCTGGGTGCACCGCATCATTTAACTAATTATTTGTACAAAAGTCAATGTTGGCATACAAATTTCCCATCGAATTTAGGACACAAAAGCAAGTGTTAGAAACTCCAGCACTAATTTTGAACATAAAGGCAGTTTAACATTTATTTTAATTCTCCACAATGCACATTTAATGCACTCATTCCTCTGCAGGATCATGAAAAATTAATTGAGGACATTTATCCCAGAACTGCAACATACTTGATTCTTTTTTTAACAAAAGCATAATTGCACGAATAAGGCTGCAGGATTGCAAGACTTTTGAGAAGTTCCTGTGTCAGCAGAATGTACCTATTATTATTATTATTATTATTGTGTAACTTATATGGAGTTACAATCTTTCAGCCCGAAGCCATTGCTGGGTCATCGCGAATGAAAGGTGGAAGCACCACCAAGATTCTCCTGGAGACCATTCTCCTGACTGCCCATAAAGCTGTGTCAGACAACAGTAGCATCACAGATAGGTATGTTCATATGGATTTTCTTCCATAAAATACCATAGTACCTCCTCTTTACGGAGATCCCAATCAACCCATTTGTGTTACATCTCTAACAGGAATCCCTTCCACAGCTCCCATTTGCAGGTGTTCAATCTCAAAGGAATGAGAAATGGATATTCTTTAGTAGGGAGGAAACATCAAAGCAAAGTAACTCTGACCACTCATCAGTCAGTTTAAAGAAAAGAAGGAAGAAAATTTCAATGATTCATAATTTCCTGTTGAAGACTGGATACTGATGTGGAAACTGTTTGGCTCACCGCCCCCCCCCCCCCCCCCCACCCAAATGGTTGACCACTACTGGTTTAGACCATCATGAGAAAGGTCAAGTTTGCCCGACTAATGATATGTTGTAACAATGTTTTGTCAATAGAAAAAATTGAGTTAAGCCACTTTCTCACAAACGAGAACTCCATTGCCATCCTCAAGATCTGCTAACCAGAAAGTCCAATGGCTACGTGGGCTGGCTTCCAGCCCAATCATTGTAACTGAATCAGGGAGGGGCACCCACAGTCTTGTTATTTACTAATCTTTTTATCTGCTGGTCTTTATCTACTAGTTTTGTTATCCCTTCATAACCATATTCATCAAGGATGTAAAAATTACAATCAATGATAATTAACACATCACACTGTCATAGTTTTCGCCCACCTCTGATAAAACTGAACAAAAATCAGTTGTGTTGCTTGTAAATTTACAGGTGCCTGCTAGACATGCTGAAAAGTTATGAACAAGTGCACAAAAATATCTATTCACACAGCACAAAGATCGCTACTTTGGTGAAACACGCAGGCGCAAGGTAAATCCATAGTTCTTCACAGTAAATTTCTCCAGTATTAATGTCTATGGGATGTCTTCCGAACGATACATTACTTTACATGAGTTCTAGATAACAGATGTAGCCAGCTGCAATGATCATAATAATAATAATAATCCTTACATTTGATATCTCAAAGGAACAAGATATCTTTATTGTTATCCTTATCATGTCTTCGAGACGTCTCAAAACACGTCACAGAATATATTGTAAATTGAATTGACTGTATATCATGCTTCCAAGTAGGAGACAATACAGTATTGAGAAGTTGGGATAGCTCAGTTCCAAGTAAATTCTGCTTACAAGGCCCCCCAACGGCAGATATTTAAAGAAGTATGTGGGTGAACATTGCAAGGGTATGTTAATTCTCACATTATTGAACATTCCCCCGTGTCAATACCATAATTTATTGAATGTTCCATGACTGTACCTCCCATCACTCCTGACTCCAAAGTAGACCCATAAAGCCAAATGGACTGCCAACCTTCATTGGAAGACTGGATAGTGAGATACCAACTTTACCATCGACAGTAATGCAAAAGAATGACTTAGGACATGAGACGAGTACAGGCAAAGGAGGACACGTGAACCAATAGAGAAAATGGTGTGTGTATGTGAGACACCTTTACTTTCATCCAACCCCCTATGAAGGCAAGCTTAGAGATCTGGTGGCTGAGGTATATAGGGAAACAACAAGCTACTGGTGATGCCAGTGTGAGTGTGAGTGCAGCTCAAATGAGAATAGAGACAAACACATGAACAAAATCCTTGTGAACAAAACTAGTGGCAGCAAAAGAAATGGGAAGGCTGAGAACTACTTATAGTAGCAAATAGAAACACAAGGAAAACCTTGACAGAAATATCAGCAAGAGAGGACAAGGACTCAGGAATGCCAAGAAGATACAAAACATAAAATAGGAAGTTTCCGAATGGAACAGGATTCATTGGCATGATAGAAGGAGTGATAAAATAGTTTCTATTTTTCTATTTCTATTTTTATCTCAAATTTGAAATAAAACAGGAGCTATTTGAAATGCACTGAAGGTTCATCAGTTTTTGATATCAGTCTTTATCTTTACCCTCCGAGTCAGCGGGGTGTAGGGGTCGTGGGACCAACAGTAGAAAAGAGAAAAATAATAAAATAATTTGCAAACAAAAGAAACAGTAATGAGATTAGAGTTGTTAACTTCAGTGGGCGAGCAAGCAGCAGAAAATACACTTGCATCAACAATTCCAATGCACAATGGGTTGAATGGTGTCCTGTGTTGTAATTATTCTATGAAAATGAAAGCTGGTGTTTATTGGATTACATTCTACTAAAACTGCAATAAAGTGCAAGGCTGGAATACAAACTGCTATTTCTAGACACTTAAATCACCATGGATATGTTCATCTTTTTGTGGGACAGTTTATTTCCTGGGTCACACATGATCTTCATGTTGTAGACTGAACTGTTTGTATCTATGATACAACCATCTTGGTATTCAGTGATTGCTTTCAAACAAGGGAAACTTGTAAACTTTCACAATACCAGAACAACAACAACAACAACAAATTACATTTGTATAGCTCCTTTCACATCTGGAGGATGTCCCAAAGCACTGAACAGACAGGAGACCTCAGATGCAGAGTTGAATGTATTGTTTACATGTGCTGGAAACATATTTACCATATTGTTGGGATTATTTCCACTCAGCTTGCAAAAGAATAGCCATATATATTACATTGGCTGGAAGTCACTTGGAATTATTGGAATCATTGATGCCAGTGAATGTGTGCCAACGTTTGGAGCAGGTAAGTGGGATTCTATTGTTCTGTTTAACACAAGAGAAACCATCAATCTGAATTCAATACAATCTAAGTTAATATTTAAATGCTTTACTGAGAATTTTCCTGTTGCCCCCACCCGGTCACCCGCAGGGTACTCCAAGGCTCCATCCTTGGCCCCCTTCTTTTTCCTCATCTACATGTTCCCTCCTCTCTGGACTATTCCCTCCTTGCCCTCCTTGCTGGTCTCCCCAACTCCGCCATACATAAAATCCAATTAACTTAAAACTCCGTCGCACAGATACTCACCTGCATGAAATTCCGTACCACCAGTACTTGCCAGGCTCCGGTGGCTCCCAAACACTGAATGGATCGATTTCAAGATCCACTCTCCCGTTTTCAAATCATTTCAATCCCTCGCACCTCCCTAGCTATCCAACCTGCTTACCCCTCACTCCACCATCCACTGCCTCCTCTCGGCCACCTATTTGTCCCTCGTGCCCTCTGTTCCTCCATTGGCGGCCGTACCTTCAGCCACTAAGCCCCAAAACTCTGGAACTCCCTACCTCAATCCCTCTGCATTGTCCCCTCACTCCCCACCTTCAAATCCCGCCTAAAGATTTTCTTTTTGATCGTGCTTACGGTCACCTCCGCCCTCCCTCTCTCCCTGGCTCATTGTCAGACTCTGCCACTGTGAAGTGTTCCGGGATGCTATATAAATGCAAGTTGTTGTCGTTGAAAGCTGCATTGCTCAGAGTGCTGCATTTTTTGTGAGAAATTAATCCAAGGTTCCGTCTTCTCAGTCAGGTGGACATTAAAGATCCCATGACACTATTCAGAAAGAGAAAGGTCAGACCTTCAGTCACGTAGATCAATTGATCATTTGCCTCATAGATGTTTCTGGGATTTTGCTGGCACAAATGGCTGCCACTTTTGGTGAATGAAGGAAATCCCACACTTAAGAGTAATTATTTTTGAGATGTTCTGATCTGATAAGGCACACCAAAATGCAAGTTGTTTTTAATGCATAAAGAAATAGAGTCCAACTTCTACATACTCTTAGAATTTGAGGTTGCACAGAATTGAAATTTTAAATTCAGTCTTACTTTGGAAGTCAGAAGCAAAAATCTGGCTTCCAAATTTGGTAAGAATTTAAGAATTTTCCATAATTTAGCACGTATTAAGATACAATGCCTTACAAGCTTAGGCTAGGTGGAATTTTGAGCTTGCAGTGTTGGAAATATCGACAGAACAATTTAAAACACAATCTATTTCTAACCGATATAGGGCTATGCTATACCAATGTTGTAGTGAAGGTTTACTGTATTAAATTAAAATTAAGTTCTCCTGCTCTTCATTAAGTTTACTTAATGTAGCAACCCAAAAACAATGCAGTACTATTGCACTGGGGAGTTTTATGCAGGCTCAGTTAAGCACAGCTAAAATAGCAGCATCTTTCAAGACACCTTATTATCCATTCATCCAAAATAAGCATCAACATGCATGATGAGAGTAAAGTGGAGGTGCACAGATCAGTGTTGAAACTGCACTGCTAACATTTTCCTGGAATGGGACAGAATCAGAATGTGCCAATACAAAATGAAATAGTGGCATTTATTATTTGAGCCTGGTTTAATTAAAAATATTGAAGTGATATTACAGTTTACAATATAATTTACATTTATACATTGCTATTCACATTGGGAGGACACCTGGACTTGCTTGAAGTTCCATGCAGTAGCATTAATAAAGCAGTCGGAGTAATAGTATGTTTTTCACTTTAGTGCTATGCCCTGACGAGGTTCAGAACGTGGATTACTGAAAGAAATTAATCAGGCGTCACTCCTCATAACAGATTAACTCTGAGTCATCCGTGTTATTTCTTTCCTCATCAACCTCTCTTCCTTAGAGCAGTAAACCATGGGTTCCTTACTGAAAATCAATCACAATGAGTCAGTCATCAGTGCTAGTAAGTGATGATGTTAGCCTGAGAGATTTGTGTAATCCCTTTCCTCCTCACCTTCACAATTTCCGAAAGAAAAACATTAAACCACTTCTTGATTTGAAAATTGTGAAATGTGAGAGCTCGCAGATTTGGAAATTCATCCCACCGACAACCCTTTCAATTGAAACAATTATCCATTTGCTGCTGAGGAAATTCTGAAGCTTGGAATGATATCTTCTGGAAGGTGTTACCTAAAGTTACCTAAATTTAAGTTTGTGAACACACATTCATATACCCATGGCTTAGGACCCACCTTGTAATCGAGTCAGCAGCAAGAGGAATTGTTGCTCAGTGAATAGGGGGGTGTTCAGGCTGTGGGCAGAAGGATCATAACAATGCTCTCATAACTTTCATGCTGAGTCACACTACTCACCTTGCAGCTTGCAAGGAATTTGTGGTACCTACGTCGATCTATCAAGGGCTCTCATCTGCTGATGTCAGATGCTGTTGTCAGTAACTATTCTCTTTGGGTTGGGGCTCTTTCAACTTGAAGTGGCTCCAAGGTGACATTAGTTCCCTTACTCTACATGCCTCTGTTTAACCTAGCAGTAAGTAGGAACCCCGGTTGTTAGTCAATTTGGGAATCTCTTTCCCGGGTGTAATAATCCATTCAAAAAATGTTTTTGTTCAAGTAATAATAATTTGGTCACTCAATCCATGACTGTCAGTAGAATACTGCTGTGTGCAATTGGCTGCCATGTTTCAAGATGTACAGTAAATTCACTTTACAGTATATTCTATGAAGTGCTTTGAGACGTCTCCAAGATGTGATAAGGTGCTACATCAAATTAAAGAATTATTATTATTATTATTAGAAGATTGGAATCAAGTCAATCTTTCGTAGTGCTTTTGGGCAATCTGGTTCCTGAGCCAGGTAACACTATGGGCATTGTTAATAACTGGCTGCCTCATTAACAGGACTTGGAGAAACAGATATATCAGGTGGACTGAGATTTCTGGTGCTTGCTAATCCTGCAATTCAAAGCAGTAAATGATATGGTGGTCCATGCTGGATAAGCAGTGGGAACCTTGCCAGTGATAAGATGCGCAATTCTAGCTATTTAAACAGCAACAACAACAAATTACACTTGTATAGCGCCCTTCACATTGGACAGACCAGGAGATCCCCAGCGCAACACTGGAGAGCCCAAACCCTGGGATACTCTTGTCAACCTGTGCCTAAAGCCTCTGAGATTAGGTAAACAGGGAGTATCTCCCTGGAGTGAGAATGCAGACTCCATACAATCAGAAATCAGATGTAGGTAGATTTCTCAATAATTTGGTTTGGAGACTCTTTATCTTGCTGTATAAAATCAAATTATTGTCAATAGACTTTTGAGTATGTCTACTGGCCTAATGCAGATGATTTAATAAATAATAATAATTGATTATAAAATGTGTTCTTTTTCAACTTCATCCCCAATGCAGATTCCAGTCACGTGCGTGGTTTTGTAAACAATGGCTTTGAGGAAATGGCAAACAACAATGGAGACCTATCGTCATTGGTAGGTGGTTCCGATTTATAAATTACATTTCAGTTTTAGATACAGGGAATTTAAACAAGCAAGAAGTTTCTTCAACAATTGGATTATAACGAATGTTTTTCAAAAATTGCAATGAATATTGTGTCAGATATATTCAAGAGACTCTCATTTATTTTTCGAGCAATTCTTATTCTATTCTTAGCATTAACTTGAAATTTATGTGAAAGGTAGAGTTGCTTGTATCATGTGGTTATATAATTCCTTCGAGTCTAGGGCTCTCACTCCCTTTGAATCGCCTATTCTGACTTTTTGGAGTACAGGAAATTTAATATTGGAATATCGATAAAGAGAAATATTTGCACTTAGTGTCTATTTTTATTTATATGACATACTGTATTCAGAATTTTTGGTCAAGGTATGCATTTTATTCCAAATTTAGGGACCAGAATTTGCCATCTCACATGAATATTTTCTAAAGACCGTGCTTCCCACGATTCAAGAGAATGATACTGTTGTCTTCATCTTTACTTTAGATGGTAATTAACAAATTTCTTCACATATTTACTGCTTTGTTTATTATTAATAATAATTATAATGATCATAATAATTCTTGCATTTGATGTAGTACCTTATCATGTCATTGAAACGTCTCAAAGCGCTTCACAGAATATACTGTAAAGTGGAGTAACTGTGTGTTTTGTGGGTGAAATGTAGCAGCTAGTTGCGCGAAGCAATATCCCACAAACAGCCATGGAGTAATTCACCAATTTTACATGGGGGATTGTTGGCCAAGACACCGAGAGAAACTCCCTTCTCTTTTTGAATAGTCCCTTGAGATCTTTAACAGTCACCTGAACAGACAAATGGGACCTCAGTTTTATGTCTCATTACAAGGACAGGACCTCCGACAACTGCATTGGAGTGTCAATTTAAACTATATGATTCCAAGTTCTGAGGGACTTTAACCCACAACCTTCTGACTCAGACACAACAGTCTGCCTTTATAATGGGATTATAGAGGAAAGAGACCTTTCTCAAGTGCCTTGCCATGTAAACTGTGTTTCCACCAGGTAAACTACTTTATCACATTGACTTGCAAGCATCTCCCAATCCAAATCTCCTCAAAGTGGAAGTCTCACAAGTTCATGTGCCACAGATGGGATTCAATGCTGAAAACGTAGCTTTGTGTCAGTAACTGAGGAATGTTTTCCCAATGGTGATGTCCTAGGAAAATTATTTTATCAATTTGAGCATTTTTCAACCCCAATGTTATGATGCCCCTTCTATTCTTTGTGTTTTCTGAATAAGATGACCTCAAGGAGATTGAGAAAATCGCATGGCAGGTGAAGGCATCAACCACCAACTTGTATGCAATGTGGCATTCAACAACAGAACATCAGGTGCCAGTAAGTAAACATGTTGCAAATCTATCATGTCATGGTGTTCTGTGTACAATAAAAACATGAGGAAAGATCATGAGTGAGAAATATGCTTTTTGCCTACTAAAGCACCTTAATGCATTAAAAGACATTCAAAAAGGATTCCTATGTAACAAAGTGATATGCATACAGTACGTCCAAAGGTACCCATGATTGAATGAAATGCCTACTAACGATAGTTTTTCATTGCTTTTAAGTTACAAACTAACACCTACTTCAATTTAAAGTGCTACAAGCCAAAATGCAAACACAAAAGCATTGCCTCAAACAACACAACAACAAATTACAATTGTTGGATGGCCGTATCTCTCCAAATGCCAAACTAAATCTATTTTCAAGGTAACTGAACTCCTTTTCCTAAAATGATCAGCTTCCCCACAATTGTTAAAAGAAGAGCTGTGTTAAAATAGCAGTTTGGTTTATTCAAATAAGGTCTCCCCCTAACAATTGACTTGATTAATGTTACCCATAGGAATTATCCAGTCAGTGTAGTGTCAGCCTGGCTCAGTGTGTAACACATTCGCCTCTGAGTCAGAAAGTTGTGGGTTAAAGCCTTGCGTTGGGACATGAGCTCATATTCTAGGTTCACATTCCAATGAGGGCTTGGCGGCATTGTCTTCAGATGAGTTGTTAAACCAAAGTCAGGTCTGCCTGTTCAACAGCAACAAAAATATGCATTTATAGAAAATACTTAGTCCAATTCTGTGGGAAGAAATTCCACCTGGGTATGGAATTATTCCATTTATGTAATATTTCAGAGCGTCCAGAATTTGGGAAATTTTCTAAATACAGCATTAATTTTGAAGCTAGTTTTTTGTAAATTATTTTAAGAACTACAGAAAACTGTTTTCAAAGTTAAGGCTGAATTCAATAATTTTCTAAATTCAGGACACTCTAAAATGCTACAAAAATAGTGTTTACCTAGACCCAAGTGGAATTTCCCCTCAACAGTTCCTTTTAAGCACTGTGGAAGATTAGCTTCTAAATTAAAATAAATTTTAAGAATTTTCCACAATTGAGGGCAATCTAACATTTAATACAAAATGGTCACCAGAGTTGGGCTGGTATCCGATGAACCAGTACTGTGGTCTTATTATTGTCGCTTCATGATTCTCACAACAAGTACATTTTTACAACTTAGTAAAGTTTGTACTGAGTTGAAGTATTTCTTCCTCATAAGGTGTGCCACGTTTACAATCACTGGCTAATGTTCCAGTTCGGTTTCACCCTGAGAAAGAAGAAGCAGAACAAATTTAGACGTGTACAGGCAGGGAGAGGCTTCTAACATACACAACCTGGCTATCGAGGAGGTCAGATGCTAAAAAAAATTGAGGAAGAATTTGATCTACCAGATGTGGGGACATATTATTTTACTCAAGTTTGATTGAATTGTGAAGCAGCAAATGAGTAGAATGACCCAATATACTTAAAAATTGTAAGAAATCTGTTGCAACAGGTACATTTAGAATATTTTATGTCAAATAACATAATGTTCCACACTGACTTAGTCCAAATACGTGAATCAATTACTGAACAAATAATCAGCTTTCTCTAATTTGGATATAAAAACATTGTGCCAATGGGTCCCTGAGCATGTAGATACTTGTGAGGAATTGAATAAATTACATTAAATGGTCAGGGTAACTCGTCACCTTTTTGAACAAAGGCATACATTAAGCTTGTCAATGAAGCAATTTCTTCAAGTAACAGCTGGCATGCAAGGATGGGTGGAACTGTTGCTGATAATGCAAAGAGAAACCAGTTTGCTGAATTGATTAAAGGGACAACTACGACAAACAAACTGACTGATTAAAAATGATCTAGCTTCCAATTTTTTTCAAAGAAAAATGTCTGGCACTGAGAATCTAGTGTGGAATTAGCAATCAGTCAAGGTGACTGGAATGAAATCTGGAAAGTAGCAAAGCCATAATTACTTCTGCCAAACCAAAACATATGCAAGTGAAGTAAAATAAAGCCTAAATGTATTAGCATTTTTTTGGAGAGATGGAGATAGTGCCGGTCATGGTATAGATTGCACCACAATATACATTGCTGAAAACAGCCCCCATAGTTTTTTTAAAAAATGCAATGACTGGTGAATGGACCAGAAGTAAATAACAGAATGTGTTGCCTGTGTAGAAAGGCAAGGATTACAGCAAGTTGTTACAAAAACAACAATTTCCATTTATATAGCACTCTTCGCACAGGGTAGTATCTTACCTAGAGCGCTTTCAATACTGGATAAACTTAATGGTAGTCACGGCTAGATTGGAAGGGTTTTTCAATGTCAACAATAATAATAATAATCCTTGCATTTGATATAGCACTTTTCACGTTTTCTAGACATCTCAAAGAGCTTCACAGAATAGACTGTAATGTGAATTGACTGTATATTTGTGGGCGAAACACAGCAGCCAATTGCACATAGCAGTGTCCCACAAACAGTCATGGAATGAAATGACCAATTTATTATTGGGTTTATTTCTTGAGAAATTATTATCAGGCATGTGGAATAAGGAAACTTGCCCAAGGTTTCGCCCTGCCAAAAATCAAACCCAGGTCTCTCACTTGCAAAGCAAGCGCTCTAACCACTGAGCTACAGGACTCCACAAGGGTGATCCATAAATAGAGAGTTTGGTATTGAAAAGTGTTCTGGTAGATTACAAAGATGACAAAGAAGTGAGATTAAAGGTTCACTAGTCTAATGAGGGTTATGGAACACAATACATTAAAATAATTTATTGTAATTTATTTTTCTACTTCAGGAAAGTAGGTGATATTGGAGCAGTTAGATAAAATGGAATTTGATGTTTCAGTATCATAAATATAAGAGAATGCGAAAAGGTAACTACGATTTCATAAATTAATTACACAGCTAACAAAACAATAAAGACATTTCAAGGTGAAATACATATTGTACTGTGTTTATTGAGGAAATGTTAATAAAACATTAGTCATAAAACGACTGTTTTGACTTATAAATTTATCTGGGTAAAATGTTAACATTTCTTCCTGTTATAATAGCATCATACCTGAACAATCACGCTTGCCTCTCTGTTGTTTGGCAGCAAATTTGCACCAAACGTANTTTTTTATACAACGTATCTGTTAATTTGCAGCAACAACTGGAGGAAATATTTTCTGTTGCAATAAATGTCACTTGGCCAAAACTGCTCTCTGAGGATCAAGGAAGCTACATTCAGGTAATAGCAACATGTTGCTATTAATTACTTATCTCGAACACATTATTATGAACAAGTGGGAAGTGCCAGAATGAGCAATGAGGGGGACCTCACTCCTTCCTCCATATCTCCCTTTTGCCACATCTTTCAAGCTCGCTCTCCCTATTTTTCCAATTCCCTCTGTCTCCTGTTCTCATCCACTCACTTGCTCACACCTTTCCTACTCACTCTTCTCTTTCTCTCTCACACACTCACTTTCTCATATCTTTCATACTCACGCTCTTTTCTCTCTTTCCCTCCCACCTCCACACACACTCTTTCTCACACCATTCATACTCTCTCTCTCATACATCCATTATCTCATACCTTTCATATTCTTCTCTCACACACACACACTGACTTTCCCACATCTTGATTACTCACTCACAGGCTAAATCTGAAACGAGGGTTGTGGCCTTATCAAACTTATACCATTGATACTATTAACATCCAAGTTTATGTGATGATCTTATTAACTACTTTGTTCTTACTTTACACAGAGGTTTCAGTATGAATTGAGTACGAAGTGGGTACTGAATGCAATAAGCACAGGGGCACATGTTTTGAAAGGCAAAGTCTACTACAATCACATGATTGATCTCAGAGTCAGTAACAGCAAACTCTTTGGGCGGGCCTTGTCACTTCTACAGGTAGGAGATGCTGTAAAGAAGATTTTGTTTTCAAAAGGATATTGCAGGATTTCTTTTTAATAAATTGTGCTCCAGCAGCTCCCCTAGAATTACAATGTCCTCTCGCTCGCCAGTATTTGTTTTGACAACTGGAAATAAAATAACTTCTGAGATTAAGTATTTTGTGGCAACCACTCAACAGTTTTTGTCCCTATGCTGGTTGTATATTGGAGCTACTTGACAGTTGTCACAAATTTACCGAATATCTGGCATATCTACACTTTACAGTCCATCCTGTGAAGCAATTTCTATTATGTGGTAATGTGCAATATCAAATGCAAGAATTGTATATTATTATTCCATTGAATGACATTAGTAACCCCTTTCTCAGTTACTACTAATTTCAGCTGCACTTGGTTTCGCTTCTTCTGAGCTTATTGTTCAGCGGGCACTGATAAAGTAGGTGCAAATGATCAAGCTCAGACAAACCAAGGTTATGTGATGCAAATAAAACACCAGAAGATCACTCTTCAGCTTCCATGAAATAAGGACAGAAATATACATTTTTATCAGAAACCATACCAACTCCTTTTCCAATTAAAAAAAGCTTTTACTTTTGAATGCTAAATTAATGTTATAAGTTTAATCATATATGTACATAGACAGACTTTAAAAAGTAGTATTTAAAAGAATTAAACATGATATAAAAAAATAGTTTTACTGACAATCTATTCAGCTTTATAAAATGGTACATTTCGTCAAAGTACAGAATACAAACAATACTCTTATAAACATAATGGAATTTATTGTTGTCTGCTGGATATGTTTGTACACACACACTGTCATTTGACAGCTTTCTGATTTAAACAAAAATGTCTCAACAGGTACTTAAGATACAAATTAATGCAAATGGGATTTACTTCAAATTAATTTCTTTATCTCCTCTAGAAGTTTACAGGCCAATCTAAATCAAAATGCTTTGAGGCATTACTCCAATCAATTTATGAAACAGATGAATTAAATGAAGAAATAAAAAATGTGGAGATTTCGAAACACATTCAATGGGCAGCAACAATGAACAAGGTAAAAGTAATAAATAAACACTTAACTTAAAATGCTTGCACTTTATTGAGCAAAAAAGGTAGATAGGAACATTGAGAACAATGTATTTATGTAGTACCCTTCACACAGGATAATGTCTCAGAGCATTGAAAGATTACTAAAAGAGTGTGAACGAGAGAGAAATGTCTGACTGCTATCAATTTTTCTCGTGCCTTGTAGGAGGTTAATTGTTTACTCCCTTGCCATTTGACATTGTATGGCTGCTTACAATTTGTTGACTGCAAACATGGAATACAGTAATTTATGTATTAATCTTCCTGGAAACAATTTGGTCCAAATGAACTGATTTAAGACAGCGAACGTCAGCAAGAATTTCCTACAGAAGGGGATTCAGAATTCTGAGTATGAAAAAAGACAAAATTAATCCAACCAAATTATTCACTATGCAGAAATGATGAAATAGAAGGAATTTTGAGTATAAATTAGATATTAATAGAGAAGTAGCATTTATATTCCAAAGAATAATAAATAGATTAGGGAAAGCAGTTGAGGCAGATGGCATAAATTAATTTATGAGATAATTGAATGCATTTCTGAAGAATAAAGATGAATGTTATGATGAAAAGACAGACAGCCGGAGTCAAGAACTATCAAAAAGCCAGGTGTCAGCTTGGCAATTGGTAGCACTCTCTCATCTAAGGTTGTGGATTCAAGCCCCACGTTGAGACTTTGAACTTACATAGTCCAAAGTGACGTTCCAATGCTGAGGTTTGCAGCTTTTTCAGAGATACTGTCCATCAGATGAGATGTTAAATCAAAGCCCTATCTGCAAGTTCTGTTTGATATTAAAGATCTTATATCCTGTAGCTCAGTGGTTAGAGCACTCCCCTTGCAAGTGAGACACCTGGGTTCAATTCCAGGCAGGGCGAAACCTTGGGCAAGTTTCCTTACTCCACACACCTAATAATAATCCCTCCAAAACAAAAAAATAATAAATTGGTCATTTTAAATCCATGACTGTTTGTGGGACATTGCTATGCATAATTGGCTGCCGTGTTTCGCCCACAAATATACGGTCAATTCACTTTACAGTTTATTCTGTGAAGCGTTTTGAGAGTCTAGAAGATGTGAAAAGTGCTATATCAAAATGCAAGGATTATTATTATTATATTATATATCACTATTCGATAAGAGAAGAGTTTTGAGATTCTCTCAGTATCCTTGCCAACAGAAAATAAAATTGGCCATTGTTGTTGTTGTTATTCACGTCATGCCTGTTTGTGGGACATAGTTATGCACAAATTAACTGCAGAATCCCCTTCAAAATATAGTCACTTTAAAAATGAAATAAGGTGTGATATAAAATGGAAGGATTATTACTATTATAAAAAGGAGCAGGCTTGTTGGCCTGATGGCTGTTTGAGTTGGGGCTAAGCAGGTCAAAGATATAGGAAGGTGCCAGAGCATGAATGCCTGATGGCACCTCCCTACCTCTCCGACCTATTTACTCCCCAACCCCCTTCCCGCTGCCTTCACTTGAATGGCTCTGGCCTCCTGTTTGTTCCTTGTGCCCTCAGTTTCTACCTCGGTGGCCATGCCTTCAGTTACTATGCCTCGAAATTCTGGAACACTCTTCCTCTATCCCTCCACCTTGCTTCCTCCTTTCCCATCTTCATATCGTGCCTGAACACCTTCCTCTTTGACCGTGCCTACGCTCACCTCCTCCTTGGCTCATCACTATGCTCTGCCACTGTCAAGTGCTCTGGGCCGCTACCCTGCGTGAAGGGCGCTATTGTTGTTGTTTCCTTATCTAAAATATTCTAAAGTTATTGAGATTTCTCTCTAAGTTTTTTTGATGGTTTGTCTCGCATGCAGGTTGTACCTACAGCAGTGGTCACTTTAATTAGAAACTGCTCAGTCTCTGAAGCAAAAACTCGACTTGCATCCTGTCCCATCGTGCGAGATGCCATCAATGCATGTATGACTGGCTCAGGGCTGAAACGGACAGCAGAGCAGAGAGAAACAGATGAGAAAGAACCGGGTGAATGAAAACAACAGCCCTTTGAGTGCAATTATTTCCGAACAGCAAGATATGAAATTATAATTTTACTTCATTTTGAGACAATAAACGTATCATAACTTTTTACAGCTCTCTAATCATTACAATTATCAAATTTAGTAGAAAATCATTTTTACAGATCTCAAGATATAATAGATTTACAGCACAGAAGGAGTCCATTTGGTCCATTGTATGTATCTAAGCTGAGCTATCTGTAATGTTGTGTTTTCTCAGCACTGGCAGCCTAGACTCTGAATCAGAGGAGTGAGTGCTGCTAACTGAGCCGAGGTGACACTTATTGAGCCACTGCTGGAGTTTTGTAGTCTATAATGAAGAATATTTCAGTGAGAAATATTGAGAAATATTGGGGAGGACAAGTTTGCAGGACTATAGGGAGAGAGCGGGGTTGTGGGATTGAATTGGATAGCTCTTTTAAAAGAGCCAGCATAAACACGATAGCCCGAATGGCCTCTTTTTGTGCTGTATAATTCCATGATTCTATGAAATGCTGCTGTTATAAATCATAGAGTCTCCCACTAATATGGCTCTCCATGAAGTGGTTAAAATGATGAATTTGGTAGCTTTCTTATAAATATCACTCTGTATCACCTGCTGAATGTGTATAACAAATATACGAATATTTCGCCCACAAATATACGGTCAATTCAATTTACAGTCTATTCTGTAAAGCGCGTTGAGACGTCGAGAAGATGTGAAAAGCGCTATATCAAATGCAAGGATTATTATTCATTATTATTATAACAAGGAACCTCACTGAAACCTGAGTGCAGAGAAAAGCTTCCTTGAATTAAAATTGTGTGTCCTATTACATGGAGGTCATGGAACCCAGATTGACAATGGTTACAGCTGCTTTGTATTTCTACACCACTGGCGGTTTCCAGGGTCTAATAGCCAGTGGCAAGCATTAGCTGGAGCAACAAAATGTACGCTATCCCTAAGGTGACTAAAGCTAATCTTTCCTCTTTGGCCTATATGGAATGTGGAAGGAGTGGGTGGGTTGACCCTTTCTTGTCCCTTATTTTCTTATGTTCTTTCCAAGTAATGCATTCTAAATGCTCCACTTGTCTAGATAACTACCCCTTTCAGATAAGTGTTTAAATAAACAGTTTCCCAGTGTGTACTGAGCTTGAACAAGGTCTCTATGACCCTCAATATAAAATTCCACATGGCTGCTTCGTTCATTACTGAGGAAATTCATAACTGCTGTCACCCTCCCAGGCAATGGTAATTACAGAGCTATTACCAAACACATTCTGAAATTCCTAACACTCGCTTTGATTGCTTTGATTTAGGTCTTATTTGCAACACAGAGCTGCTATGAAAGAAGCTTTGTTGATGCGCAGTTGCACCCCATGCTGGTAAATCTGTTTCAATTAAAGTAGGAGTGCCTGCCAAAAAACATAGCCGTCTCCAGTAGAGTTTTATATCTCCTTCCAGTGCCACAAGTTATCATTTACCAATTAGCCATGGCATTTCAATCTTTACTTCAATCTGTTATAATAAAATGGACCCAGTAAATAATATTAAAAGCTAATGCTAGGGATAAAGACCAGAAGCGGTTGTCTGCTATTTAGATGCAGCTTCTGAGCTCTTCTACTATAACTTTTGTATCCGTCGATCAGGAAAAATCTGTTTCAAAGCTCTTGAGCGTACAAAGTATACAGTATCATCACACTACTTATGTGATGACATTGTAAGGTCAGCCTGTGCACTGAATTTAATCCGGAATTCCTGGAATTTCCTGATACAAAAAGCATTGAGTTACAGGTGCACCGAGAACAAATTCCCAAATATCAGAGTATCTGTATGAACATCAGGCATTGGAATTTGAATGTCTGTTTTTGATCAACAGCAAGAACAACAAGAAAGTGCATTTATATAGCACCCTTTACATCAGGAGGATGTCCCTATCTAACAAAATCGCTCAGTGGCAACTGGAAGGGTGAGAATCAGGTGAAGGCAGGATGGTTCCAGGCAATGACACCCCTAGCAAGCTGTTGCCCACCAATTGTACAAAATTAATGCTCCACTCGAGCAAGATGCTGGAACAACAACAACAACAAGATTTCATTTATAGACTGCCTTTCACGTCGGGAGGATGTCCCAAGGCGCTGGACAGTTGGGTCGGGACCCGAGCAGGGGGGAAATGGTCAGGGGGAGGGGAGGGAAGGGAGGGAGCGAGGAGGGGGTAGAGAGTCGAGAGGGGAGCTGAAGGCACGGTTGAAGAGAAGGAGCTTGTGAGTGTGGAACTACCCGGTAGCATGACTTAGCACCGTCAGGAGAAAACAAATATCATTTGAAAATCATCTATATGTATATGAATGTTTATTCATTTAAGTTTTGGAGAATTTAAGAACTAGTTAAACAAGTTCCACAATAATTTTCTGCCAATCCATTTTATGCAAATTATTTCCTGGATGCAACTATTAATTTTACAGCTGAGTCAGTGAGAACTGTTATTGTATCACTTGAGCAGAGATGGGCACTGCTCTGTGTAAAATATACTGTGGCTTTTGTCCTTGCCATTACTGCCAGTCTGACTCCAGTGAGGATGACAAAATCCCAAACCAACCAGCTAGTTTATTTTATATAAACCCCCAGACGCAGCCTCCTCGTTACATTTCCCTTCACGACTACAGAGCCCGGACTGCGTATGACCTCTCCGTCCAGGGAGGAGATGAAATCGAAGTCCTGAAAAAGGAAGGTGATTGGTGCCTGGTGAGAAAAGTGACAGCGAGAGGGGAGAAGGCTGAGCAAGGTTACATGCCTTCAGGCTTCATAGTCAGAGCGGGGAGTGTCAGAGCTGCACAGTGAGTATCATAGAACCCAGACTTCACAAAGACCTGGGAGCTGTTGCCTCAATAAGTTTCTGGAATCAGTGCAACCATCCAGAGATAGCTGATCTGGGAAAGTAGAGAGTGACCATCCAAAGAGAGATGGTCTATGAGAGTACAGAGTGATCATCCAGAGAGAGACATTTTACAGTATATCCAGTGAAGTACTTTTGGATATCCTCCTGCCATGAAAGAAACTATAACAAATGTACGGACTATTACTATTAATATCTTGAAGTGCTTCACAGGGAAAATGTGGAAACTTGAGCAAGGTGAGAAGTAGAGGAGTTGGACCGAGGCAAAGGTCCTGTCAAAGAGGTAGATTTTAGAAGGAATTTTATCAATAGGAAGTGAAGGAGCATGGCTGAGGGATTTTGATAGGAGATTCCAGAGAGCTAGTGCGTAAAGGCTGGAAGTTCAGAAACCAATGGGGGGAGGGGGGTTGTGTAGCAGACCTGAATCTGTGGAATGGCGATTAGGACTGCAGAATGGTGATGAGATTGCAGAGGTTGGTAGGGGCAAGAGTGTGGAGGTATTTGAAAGTGAGAATGAGGATCTTCAAGTTTACCCATTGAGGCATATGGAGTCAGTGGAGCCTGGTGAGGATTGGGGTGATGGGCATGTGGAGCCTAGTGCGAGAGAAGATACACACTATGGAGTTATAGATGATCTGATGGAGAGTAGAGTAAGTGGAGGCCAATTTGACATCTACCAAGTGTTCAATTGATAGAAATATTTATTTTCACTTGGATGGCTGTTGCATAACCTCATCTTGATCTCAGTGAAGTTTTCCTGACCCCTGGAGACCCTTCCTCTTCATTGAGGGCATCTCATCTGGGTGCTTATTCCACCATTCTCCATCTCTAACCATCACAGGGGCAGCAAAGCTCTCATCACCTCAACTTCTCTTGCTCTCTCTCTCTACTCCTCTGGTTCCTCTTCTTTTGAGCACCTCACTATATATCTCCTGTCTCTCCTTTCCTTTAAAATCCTGATAATCTATTGTCCTCCCAAACCACACGGCACTTTAATCACTGACATCTCACTTCTCAGTTTCTGCATAGAGCACCTCCTCATTATGAATGACTTCAACCTCCACTTTAACTGTTCTTGCCCCAACTTCTCCAATTGTTCTGCTCTTCTGTCTTCTCTTAATCTGATCAATTCATATCATTTCCCCCACCCACATCTGCAAAGAACCCCTCAATCATGTCATAACACAAGATAATAATAATAATAATAATCCTTGCATTTGAGATAGGGCTTTTCACGTCGGGAGGACGTCCCTAAGCGCTTCACAGAACACACTGTAAAGTGAATTGACTGTATATTTGTGGGCGAACGCGGCAGCCAATTGCACACAGCAATGTCCCACGAACAGTCATATGGATTGAAAATGACCAAGTTATTATTGTTTTTTTGGAGGGATTATTATTAGGCTCTGTGTGGAGTAAGGAAACTTGCCCAAGGTTTCGCCCTGCCTGGAATTAAACTCGGGTCTCTCACTTGCAAAGCGAGTGCTTTAACCACTGAGCTACAGGACTCCATAAGATCTCATCATCACTGACAAGGCCATTCAGCTTGCCTTCTTGAACTCTTCAATATCTTCTGCCCTTGGCTCAAACTTCCCTCACAGTCTCTTTCAAATTTCTTTTCATCCTTTGACTTCTCTCCTTTGGATTTCCACCTCACCAAGACCCTGTGTTTTGAAATCCCACCTGAATCCCACCTTACTTCTTTTGTGAAACTCCATAAATTTCCAGATGGTTCTTCGGAAGTATGATTCATATGGATGCAACGAGATGTCTGCTGAGAAATGAAAACAATGATGGATCTTTCTTGGTGTGGCAACATATGAAAGAGAATGGCAGATACGTCCTGTCAGGTATGTTTGAAATATTATAATTTGCCATTCAACTAATGGAATATTTGTACATCATAGATGTTTAATGCAGTCAGTAAGGTAATAAGAGGTTCAGGGCAACTCCTATCTTTGGGTCTGCAGTGAATGAAAAGTCACTAATGCTTTTTGAATCACATGGAAATTTGAATAGGGAAATGGAAAGCTGGTCAAAAATTTGAATCAACCCATATATTACCAGTTGTTTCAAGAAACATCAATCAATCAGTTAACTCAAATTTGGATCTTCAACTTGTGTTACACTTGCATTTAGCTTTCCTGAGATGTTTGCCCATTTGAGTTACTTTGAATAGTAAAGTAGAAAGTGGTTAAAAATTGGACTCATCCTGTATTATTTAAGTTACTTCCTGGCAGAAGTAATGTTGAAGACATCCATGGGCTCAATCCTCACAGTTTTCTAGATGGAGAGAGATTAGATAGTGTTAGTGTTCAGAGGGATTTGGGAGGGATTTGACTCCTTGTACACCAGTCTTAAAAAGTTAGTTTGCAGGTGCAGCAAGCAACTAAGAAAGCAACTTAAAGGGCTGGATAAAGTCCCGGGATCCGAAACTGTAAAGCACTCTGAGACGCCGTCTGGCGTGGAGAGCGCTATATAAATCCAAGTTGTTGTTGTTGTTGTTGTTGTAGACACTGAGGGACTGTTTTCTCCTGGAAGGAGAATCTATAACCAGGGGTCACAGTCTAAAATTAAGGGTCAGCCATTTAGAACAGAGTTGAGGAAACATTTCTTCACTCAGAGGGTAGTGAACTTATGGAATTCACTACCCCAGATGGCTGTGGATGCTCAGTCCTTGAACATTTTCAAGGCTGAGACTGATAGATTCTTGAAAAATAGAGAGATTAGGGGATATGGGGATAGGGCAGGTAATTAGAGTTAGGTCAGAAGATCAGCCATGATCTTATCGAATGATGGGGCAGGCTCGAGGGGCCGAATGGCCTACTCCTGCTTCTAATTCTTATGTTCTTATGTTATGTTCTTCCAAAGTTGTAACTGGGGAGAAATTGAGGATCAAAATAGGTTTTCAAAAGGAGTACAATCTTTCTCATAAAATAGGCAAAATACTGCAGATGCTGGAAATCTGAAATAAAAACATAAGTTGCTAGGAACGAAAGGTCATTGACCTGAAATGTTGACTCACTTTCCTCTCTCCATAGATCTCTCCTGACCTGCTGTATGCTCCCAGCAACTTCTGCTTTTATTTTAATCTTTCTCATATTTGTTTTGATGAAAGAGCAGGCAATAGCTTCTGAAGAAATGTATGAAATGGAAAGGGAGTCGAATGCAATTTGACCTCCAGTATAAAACAGATATCAAACAAAGCACAATTATTGATATGCCAGTTCATAATATTGGTTTGTAGCAGGTAATTCCCAATAGTGAAGGATGAATAGCAAGCCAAAAAGTCAGAATCCCAAATATTCAATTTAAAAAAATAAAAATTTTGGTTCAATAGCAATACCTTTCTTTTGGGTGTGTCTGGATCTTGAATACAAAATTGTTGCCCTTTGTATAATAAACAAGAATATAATCTTCGGTTATCTTAAGGATGATAGGAACAGAATGTGTTTCAGATGGTGGTTTGGCATTGCATGTAATTTTCTGAGTTACTTAACTTGATGCTGGGAAGTCTTTTATGGAACTTCAACTGTGCTTTGAATATAGGAAAGAATCATCAGCAGTATTGTTTGTTGGTTGGTTGGTGCCTGATATTGCTGAAAACATGTGCATACAGTCTCTGATCGACACATTCTTTGTCAGCACTGACTCTAGATTACAAGAAATGCCACACCACATGCTATATAAAGGATTCTAATTGTAGGTAGTGCACCTTGTAAACAGGCCATTTGGCCTAACCCGTCCAGCTGATGTTTATACTCCACTTGAGTGCATTTACAAAAGCTGTGTATTCTATATAGCTCAGTGCTGCAATATACAATGCATTGACTCACTGGTAGAACTACAGTCAAATAAATTGAAAGAATCAAGATTACATATTTTTTACTTTGTAAAGATACATTGAGAGGATAGAAGAAATAAAAGAGTATATCGTTTCTCCTCCTCACAAAAGTAAAGTGAACAGGAAAATAGGTGATCATTTTTGTTACCTTTTGTTTTTGAACATTTTGAAGAATTGTAGTGCATTACGGTATCTAAATTCCTTAAGTTTTCTTTAAATATATAGTCTCCTTTCTTTAAAAAATGATTATGGAGTAGTCAATAACAGCCCCTATAGCCCTTATTCTCTCTTTGTAAAATTACATAACATAAATGAAATTCGGTCTGATCAGAATTTTTTAGATCTGATGGAATTTGTTCCTTCGTATCAGTTGATGGGTTGTCAACATTTGTGGTCAATACAGAATTCATTCTGAACTTCCTGTTCCATTCTTTGCATATTGATGAGTTCCTCTTACAGTAATCAGTAGATTAGGGTTTTGATTTTGTATGTGTTAGCTAATTGTGTTTTAACTAATATTTTAAGGAGATTTCGGAAGACATAAAATATCATTAAGAAATACCTTCCTATAGATCAGTAACTATAGATAGATAGCCACCTATATGGCTGTATATGCCCGTCAACAGCAAGGGACTTGAGGGGTCTGGGGATAAGGAGGGGTGGTGGGATTAAATTGATCTCCTTCTCTGCGAGTCAGTGCAGACTTTATAGGCTGAATGGCCTCTTTCTGTGCTGTGGATTTCTACGTTCTATGTTTCTATATTAAAGAAACATAGCCCTTTCACAGGGAAAGTTGAGGAGATAAGAGATTGGATATTGGCCCAAAGTCTTCAAACTCTTAGAGACTGTAATAATTTTCTAACATTCTGAAATCAAATTGTTTGCCAGTGAGAAGAAAGTTCCTATAAAACTAGGTTAATCTGAAGAAATTGGATTCTTGACAAGATTTTTGTAGCCTCACAGTGTTGGATTTTGAGGAGGCTCTGTCCTTGATTGGTTCAGATCGTACTTCACACACGGTTTCTCCTCTAGCCCCCACACCATCTCGTGTGGTGTTCCTCAGGACTCTGCCTTTGGTCCCCTCCTCTGCAATATCTATAAGCTCCCTCTTGGTGACATCATCCGCAGACATGGGGTCAACTTCCACATGTATGTGGATGACAGCCAACTTTACCTCTCTGTATCTCCCCTTGACTCCAGGACCACTGCTGTCCTGATAGAATGTCTGTCAGACATCAAGTCCTGGATGAGAGCTAACTTTCTTAAGTTGAACATCAACAAGACCAAGACTCTCCTGATTGGCTCCTGTCAGCACCGCCTCACCTCAGGCGCTGTCAGCAACACCATCCATGGTTGCACACTCCACCTTACTAAGCCAATCTGGAACCTTGGTGTCTTGTTTGACCCTCAACTATCCTTTCTACCCCACACCTGCGCCATGAACCGCTCTGCCTTCCCCCACCTCCGCAAAGTCGCCCAGCCCTGCCACTGTCTCACACCGCAAGCCGCCAAAACCCTCACTACATCAAGGCTTGACTATGCAAACTCATTGCTTGTCGGCCTCCCCAATTCCTCCCTCCATAGGCTGCAGATCATCCATAACTCTGCAATCCTTAATCCTCTCCCTCACTAGGCTCCGTGACCCCATCACCTCCATCCTCGCCCAACTCCACTGCCTTCCCATCACACAGAGGATACAGTTCAAGATCCTGGTCCTCACCTTCAAAGCCCTCCACGGTCTTGCTGCCCCCTACCTCTGTGACCTCCTAATCCCCTATCGCCTGCCTGTTCCCTCCGCTCAGCGGTCTCCAGCCTGCTCCATGTCCCCCGCCTCGCACACCCCACCATTGGCGGGCCACTCTTCCCCTCTACTCTGGAACTCCATCCTCCAGTCCCTCTGCCTCGCCCTCTCCCTTTCCACCTTCAAGACCTATCTCACGACCCTCCTCTTCGACTTTGCTTTCGATCTCCCTGCTTCCCCCCCCTGCCCTCCACCTTCCCCACCCCCAACCCCCAGCTCGAAACTCTGTCTGTCCAGCGCCTTGGGACGTCCTCCTGACGTGAAAGACGCTATACATATGTAATTTTGTTGTTGTTGCTGTTATGTTAAGCTGCATAAGTTTAAGGGTGATTGCCTCTTACAGGTTTTACTGTATGCTATAGAATCAAATACAGCAACCATTTGAAACTTATTTTTCAGTGCGTCGTGGAAGTTTTGTGAAGCATTACGGAATCCAAGGAAACACAAGTTACCACAACTTATCCAGACTAATTGAGCACTACTCAAAAGAACCAGGTTGTTTATGCATAACACTGGATAAACCATGCATAAAGGTATGGATGCACAAAGCTTATAATGCACGTAGAGCATTATTTTCTAACATTTTTATTTTAAAGGAATATTCTTGGGCCTTAAGTAATTATTACTGTTTTACTGTATGATGTAATTGCTATTTAAATACATAAATGTTAAATATTTACCCTGTGTAGGCCGGATTTGTTTTAAATTTAAGGTCACTATTATGTCTGCACAATAACTAACAAGATCCAAAGGATCCAATGTTTAGAAGATCACATTATATACCATTTGATACTTTGCAATACTTAATAGCTTGAAGGTAAATAAATGATTGGACAGGGCATTGTTAGTGACTGGATATTTAAAAGTGGGGAAGGAGTAACCTTGGGGATTTGTGATTATAAAGAGATTTTCCCTGTTATAGCTAGAATGCTAACCAAGTTAATTTCTAGCACTATCTTTCCCAGCAAACAGGATTTCATCCCTGAAATTTTGCAGTTATTCAAAACTCTTCAGTTGCATCTGAGTCAGAAGCCTATGCTTATCCCCCAGATAAAAATGATCATTCACTTTGTGGCTGTTTGTGGGACATTCTTGTGTAAAAATTGGCTGCCAGGCTCACTTACAAATCCAAAATTGCTGCATTTTACTGTAAATTCCATGAAGAGATTTGAGACATTTCAACAATGTAAGGCACTATATGAAATGCAAAGATTATTATGTTTATTTATTTTTAAATGCGTCAACAGCTTGATCAACCATCCATTTCCAGTTTAGCCCACACTGCTGATTGGGAAATCCAACATGACTCACTTCAAAAAGTGACATTTTTAGGGAGTGGACAATTTGGAAACGTATGGCAAGGTGTATGGAATAACACAACTGATGTGGCAATCAAAGAGCTGAGCGGAGGTATGTATCACATGTAAATTGTAAAGACATAGCGGAGATGGAGATGATTGGAATTGCAATGCACCCATAAAATACACTTAGTCAATCCACTTTGCAATATATTCTGTGAGGCACTTTGAAATGTTTTAATAATATGATATTAAATCAAATATATATCAAATACAAGGATTATTATATTATTATCTTCATGGTTTGCCTACACAGCTCACGGCGGACAGATTTACTACAGAGTATGTAATCTATGCAACAAAAGATCTGTTTTAAAGCTAATTTCCATTCTTGGACTTCAAGTATGTAAAACTTCTGTAAAAGGTGTGAATTTTTAGATCTTTTCAAAACTGATTTTAATACCCAAATGTATAGGATTACATCTACCCCTGTTATCAGATGAACAGCAAACCTTGGAAGTTACATACGTATTTGTATGGTGAAAATAATTCTAATTTACTATGTACCTTGGGACACCCTCCTGACGTGAAAGACACTATACAAATGTAATTTGTTGCTGTTATTATTCTGAAGCATTAATCACTACCATAAATGATCAACTTTGAACAACAGAAGAATTAAATGCTGTTAATTTCTTCCCTCTCCCCTCCCTCCGTAAAATCCACAACCTCTTCCTCTACCTTTCCCAAGTTCATATTCTAAAATAAGCTTCAGTCTACTATCTTCCTTGGGCCATAGGTAATCAGGGTCTCCTTGGAGCTGAACTGGTGCCAAGGTGACATGCCTGGCAACGGAATGTCGGAATCGAGCCATCCCTCTGTGGCAGTCTCAGTATTTCGGTTTCTGAGCCGGGGGGGTCTGCAGTATTCCAGGGCACTGCTGATTACAGAACAGCCAGTCTGGCTGATCGGCAGGACCTGGAAGGGCAGACCTGTCACTGGGAGCAGTGAGTCATCCCACTCAGCTCCTCTTAACCCTGCAAGCCAAATCCCTAACGGGTAGGGTGGTCCCAGCTGGACAAGTAGCAGAAAAGCTTGCCAAACAGCAATATCAATGGCAAGTTATGTGGTTTTATCTGGCTAGCCTCCAGCAGTACCGCAAGCCTTGGTCTCTTGCCAACCTGCGCCTAATACTTTCTGGAATTAGGTAAACAGGATGCATCCCTCCAGGGAGAGAGTGTGCGTTCCATTCCAACAATCTATCTCTGAGAGTTCCATGTGTAGGTGGGATACATGGAAACCTCAGCTTGGTTTGCATACTCTTAACCATGGTGATGGGTTTCCACATGTGTCAGATACCCAGCAGACCCCCAAAAAACCTTCAATCTTGAACCTCAGAAGCCAGTCAGAACAAAAGCTAAGAACACTAACAAGGCCCAAGAAATCAAGACTTCCAAACCCCCAAACTGCTGTCAGGAACCCAGAAGCTGCAAAGCACCCGGGCCCAGACAAACCCAATTCCATTTTCAACCAGAGACCAAAGTGTCCCCGTGTAATAGCGATAGCAAATAGAGCGGGGGAAGTGCTAAAATTAGAAGACAAGAACACCTGCCTCAATATAAATCGTACCCCAAGAATTATAATGTGAGCTTCTAAAATCTCTTCCATTACTTCTTACTTCCAATATATGCATTGCCAGCAGATGGTGCCAGATATCCACCAGATCACACAGCATAATGATAAACAGAAGACACATTTTTCATTACCCTGACGGTAATGAGGCAAAACTCCAGAATATTAAATAATTCATTTGCAGTTATTGGTCATGAAACCAGTCATATAAAGGACAACTGAGGACCAAGAGAAACAATTTGCAATTAACAGGAATTTACTTGTGTCTGACTTAAAATTGCCCTTTGTAACTCAAATCCCTCTTCTGCTGTCTCGGTGCAAGCATAAGTATTATCTGGGTTTATTTTCTCAAATGCCATTGGAATCTTATATAACTCTGTAAGATCCCATTTGAGACATTTTTTCAAGACTGAAGACCTCTAGCCTGTCTAATCACGGCTTATAGCTTATTCCTCTTACACAGTATAATATCCGATCAGCCAACCAGCTGACTAAAGAATCAAAATCCTCTGCAGTAAATAGCAAAAAATAAATTTAGGTTTGCCACATAGTTTGAGGAATGTATTAAAATGGGTGCATAAATTCATGTGCTAAATACCCGTGGACTGTGTGCATTCTGTTTGTAGAAACAACTTTGCTATCCAACCCATGGAAATGTCAATAAATATCCAGTTTGTGGGATAATTTTCTTAACCTAGGAAATTGCACCATTTTGAGAGCAACATAAGCATTGTATCGATATGTTTCTTTGCAGCAGCACATTGTTCTGTGGGCTGTGAACGCCATGGAAAATATAATCAGCAAGCCATCTTTAGCTCCAAAATTGTGCTAAAGTTGGGGAGGGGGAAGGAGGGTATAGTTGCAGATAGTCAATGACTACCACAGGTTTCAATGATCTGATAAGTAACACATACAATACACCACAATTCAGGTTTATATAGCACCCTTCACATCGGGAGGAAGTCTCAAAGCACTTTGCATAGCTGGATGGGCACGCAAGCATATGTGCTAATGTTAACCCTATTATATATTGGGCTAAAGTCTTCAAACATTTGATTCTCCGATTGTCAGTAAATTAACCAAGCCGAGTGAACGAGAGCATCATATCTCTGCTGGTCCATAAATGTACTGACCTTTGTGGGGCGAATTAATAATGAGAATGTCCTAGCTGGGTCAGCAACTTTACCAAGTCAGTGGAAAATCACCCAATAGCTTCCATTTCTTAAAATAATCTTTCTGAAAACTAGCCTCTAATATCCTAAAGAACCAATGAACAGAATAACCCTGTAACAGGCATGGGATTGTTGTGGGAAAAGTAGGTGACACCAGCAAGTTGGTAAACAAAACAATCCACTTTATTACTCCACCAACAGATCGGCCAAACCATGTGTCAAACACATTCACAATAAGGGATATTAGCTTTCTTCGCTATTCCTCTCCAGATTCATGGTCCCCAGCTATGTTAATGCCTCTCATATTGATCTCCAGTTTGTGAGTATTATTGATAATCTTTATGCTTAACAATTTGATGAGAGAAGGGAGTTTCTCCCACAATCCTGGCCAACAATCCCCCAAATAAAAAAATTGTTCACTAACTTCATGGCTGCCACGTCGACCTACAAATAAACACAGTCACTACACTTCACAGTAAAGTCCTGCGCTTTGGGACATTTCAACGGCATGATAAGGCACTATATCAAAGGCAAGGATTATTATAACATGAATATAAGATTTTGCCCCTTGTGCCATGATGAAGGGAAAACATTAAGCATAGAATATATTAGAATAGCTATAATAATGGTTGACTTTCTTTTTCTATAGTGAGTTTAGAATCAAAAATAGAGTTCTTAAAGGAAGTTGAGATCATGAAGCAACTAAATCATGAAAAGCTGATCAAGTTGTACGCTGTCTGCACTACGAAAGAGCCATTTTGCATTGTGTCAGAGTTAATGAGGATGGGAAATCTGCACAAGTACCTACAATGTAAGTGATTGATTTGCTTTTTATTTTAACCAAATTGTTCTGCAGTTTGGGTAGCCATGCTTCAAAAATTATTGTAGCAATAGAATAGTGCAGCATAGATTTACTAGGATGTTACCCAGGATGAGAGGAGGTTAGCCAGGTTAGAACTTTTTCCTCCAGAAACGATATGATTGAAAGGGGACCTGATAGAGGTGTTTAAAATTATGACGGGTTTGATAAGGAGGATTAACAAACTGTTTCCTCTTGTTGATAAGTTCAAAACAAGGAGGCATAAAAAGATAATGAGTAGCAGATCTAAAAGAGAGTTTAGGAGGAACATCTTTACACAAAGGGCGATGAGAATATGGAACTCATTGCCAAAAGTTGTGGTTAAAGAGGAAAACATCAATGCATCTAAGAGGAAACTCAACATGCATAAGGTAGAAGAAAAGAGAGGTATATGAGAGGGGGACAGGAAGAGGGGATGAGGAAGAATGGAGGCTCATATGAAGTATAAACACTGCCAAACTACAGTGGTTGGGATAAATGGTCAGTTTTGATATTGTACAGTCTAATTAATTGTATGTAATTAAAGGCAGAAAAGCGACAATGAATGTTTGACTTTCTGTCTTTTTCTACAGTGAATTCCGAATTTAAAACAATCTTAAATTCTTTGAAGCAGAGATCATGAAGCAGCTAAATATAACTGCCCTCTACCCTTCTATCTCAGCCCCACTCTATCTCTCTTTAAATACCTACCTTTTCCATCATACCTCCTCTTCCCCCCCCCCCCCCCACCTTGCTGAGCATCCAACCTGTCTGTATGAAGCACTCCAAGATATTATTATTGCTATATAAATGCAAATTATTATTGTTGTAATTCTACGCTTTGTTGGTAATGCACAAAGGCAGTAACTTTTAGTGCTGGAGAACAGGCCCAAGAAAGGTCAAACCTTAACACCGTTGAGGTGCAGCATTTTCCTTATATACAGAGGGAAGCAAATTGAAGAGCAAGTTGACCTTGGAACTCTTGGAGACAGTTAGACATTGGTCACAGATATTGCCTGCTGATTACCAGCATACTATTATTGATTTGGTAAAATTGTGACATGTGAGAGGTGGCGATGCCCAAAAAGGGAATGGAAAACCCAAAAAATGGTGGAAGAGAAATCTTTGACTTCTTTGTAAAATTTGATATTTTGGTCTGACCTTTAATGTGTGTTCTCTTGATTATTTTTACAGCACATTCAGAAACAAGAAACCTGCAGTTTTCCTTGATGATTGGTTTGCCATGCAGGTCAGAAACTATTCTCGGGGAGGTGGGTAGTGGGGAGGTAGATTGTGTTTTTGCAGAAGAACTGGCTACAAGGTGACATGTTTGGCAATGGAATGTTGGAATCAGGTTAATCCTCTGTGGTGAAAAGCGAAACTTCTAAGATGGGCACCTGAGCTTGGGGTGGGAGCCGAGAGGGGCCGGAGGGGAAAGATACAAATTCAAATTTACATTTATGTAGCACCTTTCATCTCTGGAGGACGTCCGAAGCCACTGAACAAGATTAGCGTGGCACCCGATCTTACTGTCAGCTTAGACTATGTGAATTCAAGTCCCAATGTGGAGAAAATCACAGGCAAAAAGGATTTGAGTAAAAGTGAATTCTTCACTTTTAGAAAGAAACAATGCATATTGACGCGACCACTGATAAAATAACCCATTGATGGATGTGACAATTAGGATGAGTCACACGAGCAAGTTCCATGTAATTGCAAAGTTTTGCCAAAACAAAAACAGGAAATGAAGCAGCTACGCCTTTCACTTGAGACCGGTTTGTTTATCCTTTACCTCGTAGAGATTTGACGTAACCATGGAAGTTTAAACCTATTATTCTAGATGGGGGTCTGCCAAGAAGATAACTTTGTTTGATTTGAATGATATCTTACTATGAAGTAAAGTAGACATTATTTGCCTCTTTCACTGGCACAAGACAATAGGTTTCAAAATGCTTGAACTCGCTAAATGACAACTCAGAGTACAGTTCAATAATTACACATAGTTGAATTGTAATTCAAGATGTAATAAGCTTAGATCATTGCTCTAAAGTAATCACAAGTTTATGTTAATATTTGTAATGTTTTAGATTGCGGAGGGAATGGCCTACCTGGAAGAAAAACATTACATTCATAGGGACCTACGAACTGAGAACATCCTCCTGACAGAAATGATGTCCTGCAAGATTGCTGACTTTGGCCTTTCCAAACTGCTTAAGAACAAGTCATACAGATTATCACATGGTAATAACCATCCCCAGTTTATAATATTTGAAGAAAGTATTCCTCCAGATTTGGTAATTTGTACAATCTCAATAGAATCTCACTGGTGAAAACTGAGATGTATGGTATGTTTATTTTACAGGTGATAATCGTCACATCGTTGTTAAATGTTGTAATCGAAACAGTCTATCAATAAGATTGCCTGTAAGTAGAAAATAGGAACAGGAGGAGGCCATTCAGTTCTTCGAGCCTGTTCCGCCATTTAATTAGATCATGGCTGATCTGTACCTCAACTAATCCCTTCAATTCCAATTTCCTGCTTTCTCCCCATATCCCTTAATACCCTGACCTACCAAAAACCTATCAACCTTACTCTTGAAGGTATGGATGGATCCAGCATCCATGATCTTTTGAGGGAGAGAATTCCAGATTTCTACCACACTCTGAGTGAAAAAAATGCTTCCTGATTTCACTCTTAAATGGCCTGGTTCTAATTTTAAGACTATGCCCCTTGATTTGGATTCCCCACCAGAGAAAATAGCTTCTCTGTATCTACCCTATCAAATCCCTTTATCATCTTAAATACCTCAATCAAATCACCCCTCAATTTTTTAAACTCAAAGGAATACAATCCAAGTTTACACAGCCTTTCCTCGTAACTTAACCCTTTTAGGCCTGGTAACATTATGGTGAACCTGCGCAGTACCCCCTCCAGGGCCAATATATCTTCCCTGAGGTGTGGTGCCCAAAACTGAACGCAGTCTCCAGATGGGGTCTGACTAATGCTCTTTACAGCTGAAGCATCATTTCCTCCCCTTTGTATTCCAGGCCCCTTCAGGTAAAGGCCAACATCCCAATCACCTTTTTGATTACTTTTTGCACCTGGGAACTAGTTTTTAGTGATTTGTGGATATAGACTCCCAAATCTCTTTGCTCCTCCACAGTTCTTAATTTCTCCCCATTAAGAAAATATTCTGCTAAATATTCACAGTGCAGCGACATGGAGTAGGAATTGCATTGTACGCTTCTCAATCTATGTCCCTTTGAATCAGTCTGAAAAAATACAAACCCCTGATTTTGTCGCTCAACCCATGTTCTAAAGTGTGGGCTTTTTATTATTATTAAGGAGCAACAGGTAAAAGTAGACCATTGAAAGTTGTAGCTCACCCAATATACCATTCTGAAACTCTCAAATACCACAAATGCAAGGATTATTATATTATATATTATATAAGAGAGTGAACGCAAACTTAGTAAATTGCAACCACTACAAGCATAATCATAATAATACTTGTATTTAATATTACACCTTATCATGTTGTTGAACATTTCAAAGGGCTTCACTGTAAATAACTGAGCCAGATCGCATGGCACTACTCGAAAACAGAAGGCAGTTTCCCCCAGTGTCCTGGGCAACAACCCTCCAAATAAATCAGTCATTCACTTCATAGCTGTTTGTGAGGCATTGCTATGCACAAATTGGCTGCCACATTTGCCTGCAAGTACAGTCACTCTGCTTAATAGTAAAACTCATGTGCTTTGAGATGTGGTAAGACTGTATATCAAATATAATACTATAAATTATCATGCCAGTGAATCACACAATTCTTAACTCACACATTCAGAAACGAATGACCTATTTCTGTGCTGTAGGATCTATGTAAACATTTATAAATATCAAACCACCATTCCTGGCTATTTAGTTTCCTTTCAAATCACTCTATATTGTGTGGTTCATCCTCTGGCTCTTTTTCTTCCATCAGCTCTGGAGGCTCTGAGGGCTCTGTGATCACCTTCTTAATTTCTTCCATCTACACTTCAATGATCTCCTTTGAACACCAACCACTCTTCCACTGGGTTGGGTTAAAAAATGGAAAACCGTCTGCTCAAGCGCAGATGGTGGAAAACTGGCCTGACAGACCACCGTCAACTGTGGCTCGAACATCTCCACAGCTACCGCCGTTCTTTGATACGCGTAAAAACGGCCTTCTACTCCAACATCATCTTGGAGGCTAGACACAACCCTAAAATCCTTTTTTCTACCACCCACTACCTCCTCCATGCACCCCTCAGGCCTCCTCAATCTTCGTATCAAATGCCAAGTGCGAGGAGGTCATGGACTTCTTTTCATCTAAAATACTTAACATCCACCAGGCAGCCTCATCCACCTGCCCCTTGTCACCCACCACCACACCCTTTCTGTCCCACTCACCTTCCTCATCATCTGCTCCTACCACCACCCCCATTCTACATTCCTTCCTCCCCATCTCTCCCTCCTCCCTCTCCCCCACCATCACCTCCATGAAACCCACCACTGCTGCCTAGACCTTCTCCCTACCAAGTTACTGGTCATCCAGCTCCCCCTCCTCTGCCCACTACTGGCTGTCATCATCAACCAGTCCCTCTCCTTCAGATCAATCCCTGCCTCCCTCAAAACTGCTGTCATCACTCCCCTCCTCAAAAAACCCTCCCTAGATCCCTCAAACCCCAGCCATTACCGCTCTATTTCTAACCTGCCCTTCATCGCAAAAGTTCTAGAACGCGTTGTTGCCAACCAACTCCGCGCCCACCTCTCCTCCCACTCCCTCTTCGAACCCCTCCAGTCCGGTTTCCGCCCTGTCCACAAAATAGAGACTGCGCTTGTGAAAGTCACAAACGACATCCTCTCTATCTGTGACCAGGACTCCCGGCTCCCTCTGCCTCCTTGTCCTCCTGGACCTCTCCACCGCATTGGACACAGTCGATCACGTCATCCTCTTCCACCGCCTTTCCTCCGTCATCCATCTCAGTGGGAACGCACTCTCCTGGGTCGTGTTCTACCTCACAAACCGCCAGCAATACGTCTGCACAAACGGCTTCTCCTCCCGCTCTCACCCGGTCACCTGCGGGGTACCCCAAGGATCCATCCTTGGCCCCTCCTCCTTCTGATCTACTTGCTGCCTCTTGGGAATGTCATCCGCAGACATGGAGTACATTTCCACATGTATGCAGATGACACCCAACTCTATTTTTCCACCTCTCTTTGTGACCCACAGTCCCCTGATGTTCTGTCAGCCTGCCTGTCAGATCTCAGGAGCTGGATGTGCGCAAACTTCCTTCAGCTGAACATTGACAAGACGGAATATAATAATAATAATAATAATAATCCTTGCATTTGATATAGCGCTTTTCACGTCGGGAGGACGTCCCAAAGTGCTTCACAGAACACTGGCTGCCTATCCCAGAGACAATTGACTTCAAGATCCTCACCCTTGTATTCAAGTCCCTGCACTCCTCTGCACCTCCTACCTCTCTGACCTCCTCTCTCCTCAAAACAGTACCCGTTGCCTTCGTTCCTCTGGGTCTGGCCTCCTCCTCCTCCCCCGAGTTCTCCGCTCCACCCTCAGCGGTCGTACCTTCAGCCACTATGCCCTGAGGCTCTGGAACTGCCTTCCTCACTCCCTTCGTCTCACTCTCTCCCTTCCCATTTTCAGGACTCTGCTGAAAACCTTTCTTTTCGACTGTGCCTTTGGTCACCTTCCTCCCCCTGTTCCACTGATGATACCGCTCTACATGTATCACTACCTTCCGATTGCATGCACACCACCTTGGCAAGAAATTGCCTTGACTGAGTCATGTAATCCAAAAGGTCTTATCTGGCAAAGGCTGAGTAAACCATACTATGCAGTGGAAAACTCAGTTTAATATCAATGTGGTGGTTGACTGGGTTATTAAGACTGGAATGTATCTTTTATCCTTTCCTTTACTGTGAACATTTGTGTTCAGGGATCTGAATCATATCAGATGAAGGAAGTATCACTTTTTTATGCATTATTTCCTATAGATGCCAAAGTTCCCATAAAATGGATGGCACCAGAAATATTCACTGACAATATTTACACCACCAAATCAGATGTGTGGTCTTTTGGAATCCTTCTAATGGAAATCATTGCGTATGGAAAGGAACCTTTCCCAGGTATGACATTTATTCTGGTGCTCTGAAAACACTTCATCTGCTCAGCGAGCTAGAGCTGGTGTAGTCTGCTCCACTAAGAGCATGTATTAGTTGTGCATATTCCGAAATGTTAAATGTGACACTGTATGTGATAATTGTCAGTGGTGATGTTATCAGATTGCTGGAAATTCCTCCCCTGTCAGTCTATGTCTGAAGAATTTATAAAATTTATAAAAATCACCTGCTCTGGCTATTGAAACTGCTGCTCCTCGGTCTAAATTTCAGTGCAGGCTCACACGATACCAGCTTCACTCAGCTTGTAAAGATATCAACTGACACGTCCACAGGGAGAGATTTTTTGACCACAAAATAACCTCACTGTCAATTACCATATCGAATTTTCCATTTTTTACTCCTCTGTTCGTTTTGTTAACCAAAAATCAGCTAAATTATCCTTTTCTGCAAAAAACAGTCTCAACTGTGAAGTCCCCACAGCCTCAACACAATAGTAGTTTCCAAAAGACTCTCCACTCTAAAACCTGTATTGAGCCAAAGCAGTATTTCAACACTACAGATTAGGGAACTGACGAAGTTAAGTCAGTTTGCTCGACTCCTTCAATCAAATTCTGTCTCAACGATGACAGGTAGCACAGCTCAGCAGAAGATAAATCAACAGGCCAGCTGACAGCAACAGAGGCTTTAGTTTTACAATACAATACTTCTTTGCGTTTCATATAGTTCCTTATCACGTTGTTGGAATGCCTGAAAGCACTTCACGGGATTTATTGTAGAGTGTAATGACTGCATACACTCAGTATCTGTAGGAGGAACGGCAGTCAATGCTTGCACATCAATGTCCTACAAACAGCCATGAAATGAGTGACCAATTTTATCTGGTGATTTGTTAGCTAGGACAGCGTGGAATCAGTGTTGATTGGCAGGTCTTGGGAGGGTGATGATAATTATGGAAAGGACAGAAATGTACAGCGTTTCACAATAAGCTGTCTTATGATAGATACGACATGCTATTTATGAAAAATTTCAGACAATTCTAATACATTTTGTAATTGATTTCACTTGAATATTTATTAAGCGGTGTTCCGAGATGCTATCCTGCGTGGAGGGCACTATATAAGTGCAAGTTGTTTCCGTTATTGTAATGAAAAATTATTCTCTGTAGCCAAAAGATACTTTTGACACCTCTTTGTTCTTTAAAATAGATGATGATAACACAAATTATGTCAAAGCTTTGATAGAAGGATCACACATAACTCCACCTGCTGGTTGCCCAGATGATCTCGGTAATATTATGCTTCAATGCTGGAAGCAGAAGTCAGAGGAGAGACCGACATTCAATCAACTACAAGACAGACTAATGGCATGTAACCCAATAGTGGACACTGAGGAGATACTGTCATCAGCATAGGAATTGAACATTGAAAGGATGGAGAAATGTGCTTAAATGTCCCGAATATTGTTAGATTGAACTTAGTACAAATTCTCCGTCAGTGACCACAAATTGTGAACGTTTATTGTGAACTACATTGATTATGTGGCTTTTTTTTTCCAAAGGAGCAGTACATTAATTTATTTTTAAATCAAGCAATGTTTTTTTTCCCTCCTCCTGCAAGTATTTTACTCCTGTGTCCTTCCTCAGGGGACTTTTTACCTTCTGGCTCGCCCAAGTGACCATTATCTATGTGCAAGTCTCGACACAGAGTGCTGTCAGGATATTCCATCATGTGTGGCCAAGTGCATCAAACTCACAGTTATCTGATGACTGCACATGCATGCATGGAGTCCTGTAGCTCAGTGGTTAGAGCACTCGCTTTGCAAGTGAGAGACCTGAGTTCAATTCCTGGCAGGGCGAAACCTTGGGCAAGTTTCCTTACTCCACACGCCTAATAATAATCCCTCCAAAAAAAAAAAAACAATAATAAAAAAGATTAGTCATTTTCAATCCATGACTGTGGGACATTGCTGTGCGTAATTGGCTGCTGCGTTCACCCACAAATATACAGTCAATTCACTTTACAGTCTATTCTGTGAAGCGCTTTGGGACGTCTAGAAGACGTGAAAAGTGCTATATCAAATGCAAGGATTATTATTATTATTATTATAGCCTGAGATCAGATCATTCAGGGCAACTCAGGATTAAAATTTGTGATCTTCTGGTTTGTGGGGCCAAGTGTCTTTACCACTTGACACTTGTGGGGAAGCTGTGATTTTCGGGGAAGTTGTGATTTTTGTGGAAGCAAACCAAATAATGTCCGGATGATGATAGGAAGTTGAAACGAGGAACCCGAAACCTCCAGCCGTGCTGAACTTCTTTTATTCCTGAACACCAGCACTAATAGAATAAGCACAGTGTTTGGAGGTTGACTTCCTGAGGAAACAACAATGTGATTGACCCTAGTGATAATAATAACAACACTTGCATTTGATATAGTGCCTTATCACGTTTTCGATATGCCTCAAAGAGCAACACAGGATATACTGTAAACTGGATTGACTGTGTATTTTGTGGGTTAAATAATGATGTTATGGTACAATAAGAAAGAGCCTAAAGACTGAAGTTTGTATTGTTTAATGGCCTCTGTTTCTATGACCTCCTGCACCCCGGCTGATCCCTTATGTCGAGGTGATCTGAACTTATGCAATATTCAAGGTGTGGTCTAGGCTGAATCTGTAGCGCTCAGGCCAGACCACATCTTGGGATTCTAAACTCAATAGAGCTCAGCATCTTGTTTGCCTTTTTTTTGACGACACAATTTCCAAGTCCCAATGTGGGGCTTAAACCCACAGTCTTTTAATTCAGAAGCAAGAGTGCTATCAATTGAGCCAGATTGAGACAACAGAGTCAAAGGGGCATCCTGACAAAGTGTTTGGGGAAACACTTTTTGTTTCAGACGGGAAACCAGTCAGTTACATGTTATTTGTATAACCTCATGATATACAAGGTTCCTATGACGCATTGCAGTGTTCACCAATAATTACAAACAAAAATTTCAGGACAATTTTCAATTTCATGATGATAATACTAACTATTAGCAAAATTATACTGATTTTCTTAAATTATGAATTCCGTAAATCTGGTGATTGACAATTTGTCTCATGAGATCTGAGGTCTGAATGGTTGCACAGTAAAATGCAGAGAGCAAAGTCCAAAAAGCACAAACATCATCAAACCACATCCCCAGTAGAAATGCATCACACCGCTGCGTTCTGGCAGCAGGCGACAGACAACTCTGTCTCAGCTGCAGTGCACGCCATAGAGATAGAGATCTGATATATCTGATCTTAATGAAATGTATGTAAACCTCCTCCGCATCAGTAGTACTAAAAATTTCCTTGGGGGAAAAACAAACGTCTGAAAAATCTATTTAATAAACAAATGTGGAGTCCTGTAGTTTAGTGATTAGAGCACTCGCCTCGCAAGCGAGATGACCTGGGTTTGATTCCCAGGAAGGGCGAGAGTTTCCTTACTCTACACACCTCTGTTTATCTAGCAGTAAGTAGGAACCTTGTTGTTAGTCGATTAGCGGATTGCTTTTCTCAGAAAAATAATCCCTTCAAAAAAATTATTATAATAATTTGATTACTCAATCCACGACTGACTGTGGGACACTGCTGTGCACAATTGCCTGCCCCGTTTCTCCCACAAAATGCACAGTACATTCACTTTACAGCATATTCTGTGAAGCACTTTGAGGCATCTTGAAGACGTGATAAGGCGCCATACCAAATGCAAGGATTCTTATTACATATTTAATCAATTTGATTTTGCCTCGCTTTCTCTCTCCCTGCCTCACAAATTACTAAAACTTCTTCCTCTTCCACCATGCATTTGTTCAATGATGTCTTATGTTCCTGCTCTGGGTGCACCACTCCATTAGTGAAGTGTTTTTTGAGACGTTCTTTTACATTAAAGGCGCTATTGAAGCAGGTTGTTGTTTTTGCTTACTCTACTTATTGCTCTTTCTCACCCTCTCTACACAGCCATTCTGAAAAACAATTATGTGCACATTTGGTAATTCTTTCTATGCTTCTAATTCTTGAGTTATCCAATTTGTTAAATATCCTCTTGCAAAGAATTTAATGTATCACTGTGACAGATTCGATCAGACAGACTATATACCCTGTGCATTCTGCAACCCATGTGATCAGAATACCATATCAGACTATTAAAAGAAAATATTAAAAAAACAGATTCAATGGAAAAATATCAGAATGGTTCAAAGTGAAGGCAGGATTGGTGAAAAGTCCAGGCCTCCAGCTCATGAATTGTGCCCATTGACTGACAAGTCCTGGCATTAAGCAAACAAAACCGCAAGAAGATATCTTGCTAACTCATAGGGAAAAGGGAGGCAGAATTCCAATGATTTGGGCCCAGCTTCTGCAACACTAGGAAAATGGGAAAGTGTTCCATTCCTCAACAAGAGTAACCTTGGCCTTGAAAAGTAAACTTCAAAAAAAGTAAAAATAATAAATTTAGTCACTCAATTCACGAATGTTTGTGGGACACTGTTATGTGCAATTGGCTGCCGCATTTCGCCCTCAAAATATACAGTCAATTCACTTTACAGTATACTCTATGAAGCATTTTGAGATGTCTCAAAGATGTGATAAGGCTCAATATCAAGTGCAAGGAATATTATTATTACACAAAAATCATCAAATATAAAAAAGTTTATAGATCTCTTTGTTTAGGCTTTTTGAGGCATTCCATGTTTGCTTATTTCTTTTCAAAGTAAGACTAACATGGAAGCACAGCCCTCAAAGATTAACATTTTGTGTGAGATGAGTCTTCACCTTACATAACCTTCAATTTTAATAAAAGACTCACCCCTATTAAAAAGCAACGTATAACTCACATTATCACAGAGCTCTGGTGGTGGGGAGACTCAGCGCTGATTTCTAGTCAATACACGGTTTCTGCACAGTCACAAAGTTTCCGATCACAAGAGGAGTTCTGTTGCATGAACTTCAACAAATAGTTAGCTGGAATAAAACTGTAAAACGTCTGAAAGATTTGGGTTTAGAATTAAATCATCATCCATAGTCTGCTAAAGTATATCATTTTAATTTTAGAATTCAATACAAGCCTAAGAAAATGAATACTTTACCGTTTAAGATTTGTGCACTGACATCCTGTATTGTATGTAATAAATTACAGTATCAACTCAAAAATAAATCCAGTATATATTTTTTTTACAGGCAAGGTAAGCAATGATCATTTCAATTCAGAGATGTAAGCAACACATTTATAAAATGAAACATGGTAAAGTACAATATTCGATGCACACACTTACAGTGTTGTGACAACCCAAAAGACCATCACTGCAATGATTCAAGGTCCCAAATGTTGGTTAAATTTAAGAACAAACATTCAAAGCTCAGTTTCCAATTGCAACTTCAATTGAGGCAATTGTTCTTTTAAATAAAACAAGAGACTGGGGAATGTACCAGTTGGGAGTTCTGGGAGGGTTCTTAAGGGGAAAAGGATTTTCATGCACATATTAGCTAAGGCACTTTAATCACGAAACGTCCCAGTGATACATTTCCCATTAATGCACGTCCCTGACAGCAATGGCGTATAGTCTGCTGAATTTCTGCCAAGCTGAGATCTCAGAGTCAAGCATAAGCCTTCAAGGTTTTGAGTAAACTGCTTGTCAAGTGGGTAGTTACTGAGCACTTTGTCCACCTGACCCATTTGGAATTATTCCAGTTTCCGCAATGCGTGGATGAGAATTCAGTGCATGATATAAGCTGCATTGTGATAACCCAACGATTCATTGTAAAAGATGCCAAAGGCATTCCGTCTCTTAAGCAACTTGATATTGCCCTTCTGTGGATATATAAAAGTCCTCCAGAAATGCCTGAAGATATTCAAATGTGGGCCTTTCTTCTGGACCCTTCTTCCAGCAGATATCCATGATATCATACAGCTCCTCTGGACAGTTGTCAGGGCAAGGCATTCGATAGTCACGATCCAAGTTACGGATCACTTCAGGGTTGCTCATCCCTGTAGAACAGAGCGAGAGAGCGATGTAAAATGATGTTAGATGTTCACCTACAATAAACCCCACACACTTTACAGTAAATCCTATAAAGTGCTTTGAGACGGACTCCTGATGCAAAAAGCGCTATGTCAAATGCAAGAATTATTTGTTTGTTTTTTATTCATTTATTTATTTATTTATTTATTTATTTGTTTGTTTGTTTAAATATAATCTTCATGCCCACGCATCATAAGGAAAGTTCAAGTTGTACTTACAAACAAATTTAATCTTTATACTTGTCTAATTCAATTTTACAAATTGATCATTGCAAGGGCATAGAGAAATCCCTTGGTAGATGTGTGACACCTACAGACCTGAGAGAGCCAAACCCTTAGGTAAAGCTAAGATGTTGTAACTTTGTAACATGCATTGGTTTCTGAGGGATTGTTCTGGCTTCAACTGTTACTCGAGATAATCACCACTTCTGCAGCAAGTCACCTATCAAGTGCTCTGGGACGCTAACCCGTGTGAAGGGTGCTATATAAATGCAAGTTGTTATTTTGTATTAATTACCAGAGTTGAATATGAATGTCATTCAGTTAATCTATTCTAAAAAAATTTCATGCTGCCTGATTCAGTGCAAAATTCCTAATGTAATAACAACATTACATGTCCAGTTACCAAACATTATTCCCATATTACCTGGATATGGTATTCTCCCGTATGTTACAATTTCTGTTAAAAGTATCCCAAAGGACCAGACGTCCGATTTGATTGTGAATGTCCCATAATTGATGGCTTCAGGTGCCGTCCATTTAATAGGAAATTTAGCGCCTATGAAGACAAAGTAAGTTGTCAGCTTAGATATTTTAACAACATTTGGATATGTAAACGTCCTCTGGAACAGCGGATTTTTCGCAGGACTATTTTCCGATTCATCAGTGAGTGAGCTTCAGAGCTGCTTAGTAGCTGGAACACTCTCTGCAGCACAGTTAACACAACACAGTAAATTAGCCAGAGTTTGTATCTGACATGACAATGTTTTGATGTAGTTTCTTTACAACAGTGTTGTTTTTATTAAAACAAAAAAACCTAGTGGCAGACGCAATGTCACCATGTGCGGGCTACCTCTTCTAATCTGCCCCAGAAGAAGACTGGTTGTCAGATGCAACTTAGAAACATAGGGGTAAAACTTCTTCCTGGGTCTAGATTTGCTCTATTTTCTTGGCATTTCAAAGCATCCATGATTTGGTAAACGTTTAAATATCATCTTAATTTTGATGTTCATTTTCTGCAGTTCTTAATGAAAGTTAAAGAAAATTGTTTTCAACATTAACAACAACAAAATCACATTTATAGAACGCCTTTCATGTTGGGAGGACGTCCCAAAGCGCTGAACAGTCAGGTGTCGGAGCCCGAGCCTGGGGGAGGGGTAGTGTAGAGGTGAGGGAAGGCAGAGAGGTGGGTGGGAGACCAAAGGCACAATCGAAAAGAAGGATCATGAGACTGGCCTTGAAGGAGGCAAGGGAGGAAGCGAGGCAAAGGGACCGTAGGATGGAGTTCCAGAGTGTGGGGGCAGAGAGGCTGAAAGCTCGGCCACCGATGGTAGGGCAGGTCAGACGGGAGACAAAGAACAGGTCGGAGCCCGCTGAACGGAGGGAGTGGGCAGGTTGGTAGGGAGTCAGCAGGTCAGAAAGGTAGGAGGGGCAAGGCCATGGATGCCCTTAAAGGTGTTGATGAGGATCTTGAACTCTGGGGGATGGGGAGCCAGTGGAGTCGGGCGAGCGTGGGAGTGATGGGGTCACGGAGGCTGGTGCGTGAGAGTACATGAACTGTAGAGTTTTGGATGATCTGCAGCTTGTGAAGGGAAGAGTTGGGAAGGGCGATGAGGAGGGAGTTCCCGTAATCGAGCTTTGAGGTGACGAATGCGTGGGTGAGAGTTTCGGCAGCCTGAGAGGTGAGGCAGTGGCGGAGTCTGGCAATGTTGCGGAGGTGGTGGTAGGCCGTGCCAGTCATGGTGCGGATGTGGGGGAGAAAGCACAGTTCTGGGTCAAACAAGACACCCGGTTCCTGACTGGCTTAGTGAGGTTGAGTGTGCAGCCGTGGAGGCTGATGCTGCCAGCGCCTGAGGTGCGGAGGCGGTGGCGCGAGCCAATCAGGAGGGCCTCGGTCTTTCTGATGTTGAGTTGGAGAAAGTTGTCCCTCATCCAGAACTTGATGTTGGACAGGCAGTCAGTCAGGACGCCAGAAGTTGTGGAGTTCAGGGTGGAGGCAGAGAGGTAGAGTTGGATGTCATCCGCATACATGTGGAAATTTACCCCATGTCTGTGGATGATGTCACCAAGGGGGAGCATGTAGAGGGTGAAGAGGAGGAGACTGAGGACAGAGCCCTGAGACAGTGTGGGGGCTGGAGGAGAAGCCGTTTGCCGAGATGAAGTGGAGGCAGTGTGAAAGGTAGGACCTGAACCAGTGAAGGACAGAACCTTGAAGGTTGAGGTGGGAGGAGAGGCGGTGGAGAAGGATTGAGTGGTCCACACTGTCAAAGGCGGCAGAGAGGTCGAGGAGGATGAGGAGGCAGAGGGAGCTCTGGTCACACATGGTCAGGATGTCGTTTGTGACCTTGACCAGAGCAGTTTAAGTGCTGTGGGCAGCACAGAAACCCGATTGGAGGGGTTCATGGAGGGAGTGAGAGGAGAGGAAAGAGTTCTACTGGGAGGCAATGGGTCTCTCAAGGACCTTGGATAGGAAAGGGAGATTTAAGATGGGCCGGTAGCTGGATAGCTGTGATGGGTCAAGGGAAGGTTTCTTCAAGATGGGGATGATAATGGCTGTTTTGAGGCTGAAGGTGAGGACAAGTATCTTGAACTCAATCTTCTGGGGGATGGGGAGCCAGTGGAGATCGGTGAGACTGAATTAAGACTGAATTCAACAATTTGCCAAATTCAGAACACTCTGAAATGCACAGGAAATAGAATAAACCTAGATCCGGGCAGAATTCCTCCCCCAACTTCCCAAACATTCCGAGCTGCCCTCTTCATATTGTGAATTGTAGTCTCTATTTTATATTTTTCAAGAATTTTGCAACAGTAAATTTATGTAACAATAATCCTCTTGGCTGTTTTGATCAGCCCCAAGATTTTATCCTGGCATTCGCTTCACTGCAGTGAAATTTTTCTTTACGCCTTTCCTGAGTACCTCAACTCCTTCACAAAGCAGCAATACCAACTCCCATGAAGTAGACAGCTCAAAAGTCTCCACTGTACCATTGTGGATGATTGGCAGTGTGAAAGGCAGTGAAAAAATAATCCTCAATGTGGCTTCACCCTGTCTCAAAAACATATCTGCCTGTGGCATTTTCCAGACAATCTGTCCCTATCAAAATTTCTTAAGGAAGATTGTCCAGTTAGAGGCATCTACTTATTGGGAGGTGGTTTGAGGTTTCTGATCAGCCCTTTATTAAGTATTTTGTTTCATGGCTGTGGTCCATGGTGGTGGAAAGGTGATGTGTGCCTAGTTTTCACTGATGCACATTACAGCAAAGGAGTTCTCTAATAAATCCATTAGGTCTTGGATTGATCATCCTTGTCAATTATGCTAATCCAGTTTTCTCGTAATCTGCAAAGGTAACAGTTCTGAAGAAGAGTCATGGACTCGAAAGGTTGACCCACTTTCCTTTCTCCAAAGATGTTGCCTGTCCTGCTGAGTGTTCCTAGCAATCTCTGTTTTTGTTAGTGATTTGGACCAGTTCTGAATGTGTTCCAGTGGAAGAAATTGATGGGATCCTTTCATTATTATTGTTGATCAAAATTGTGGATCAGAACAGTCAATAATTATCACTGGGGGGTTGGAAAAGCACCCATGAGACCAGTGATAATCATTACCCGATAATCACATTTTTGACCAAAATTATTGTATTCCCAGTGACATTTAGATGGCCCAATTTTGACTCCATACATACAAATGACAATCAATTCATTCATTCTTTCATCAATGACCTGGGCAAAGAAGCAATAAAATCTAGAAGGATATCAAGTGAACTATTGGTCTTTCACTTATTCAAAATGCTTAGGAACATTTAGACCTTGTAGATAACACGAGAGGCTGAAACTGACACTTACCCTCACGGGCTGTGTACTCATTATCTATAACCCTGGCGAGCCCGAAGTCTGCAATCTTACAGTCCAGTGCCTCTGATACGAGGATGTTGGCAGCACGCAAGTCTCTGTGGATGTAATTTTTCTGCTCGATGTATGCCATGCCCTCTGCAATCTGCCAAATAAACACCTCAGGATTTAGAAAGTGACATTACAGGTCAGGTTGGTTATTACAACAACCCTCCAGGTAAAATTGGTATTTGTTTCCTGAATGTTTGTAGGATATTGTTGTATGCAAATAATCTGCAAAGTTCACCTACAAATACACAGTCATACATTTCACACTAAATACTGCAATTTAATTTTGACAAATTGATAAGGCTCTATATCAAACACAAGGATCATTATAATCTAAACTCAGTTTCAAGTTAATAAAATATTAATTGTGGCATCACTGTAGAATCTTAATACTCTGTATCAGCTTGGCTCTGCTGACATTCTCATCTTGGGGTCAGAAGGTTGTGGGTCCATGCCTTTGCTCTACACTTGAACTCACAGTCTAGTCTGACACTCCAATCCTATAATGGCGGATGTGCTTTATTGTCACAGGTGCCATTAATAGGATGAGGCAATAAAATTGGGTCCCGTTTGCCTGTTCAGGTGGATGATCAAGATCCCATGACACTATTGAAAAAACAGAAAGGAGTTTCTCCCTATGTCCTGGTCAACGAGTCTCCAGATTCATTGGTCATTCATAGGTTATTCATAGGAACTTACTTGGAACAACTAACTTATGTATCCCTGAAAAAACAGTTCACTACACACCATACTGACTACCTGTGAAGGGCTTTGAGACATGATAAGGCACAATACCTTCCAAAAATCACATGTGACTATTTTGCAAATATTGCAAATTAGATGGTTTTTGAAATTTGCAAACAAAATTTGCCCTTAGCACTTTGAATCCTGTTCACAAATATCATGCATATTGTGTGCATTAAACAACAATGAGCTTTACAAACATTACAGCTTGTGACATCGGCATTGCAGTTACAGGGTATTAATAAAAGTGTTGCCAATCTTCCTTCAGCATCCTCATAGGTGTATGTGTGTCTAGCCACATATACATCAGGTTCATCAATGTCTTGCTCAGCCACAAGGTGGTGTCTGACAGCCACTTTCACATCAGAAACACTTACATTTTCAGGCACTCTTCTGTCCTAGCCTGAGCAGGATCAGTAGAAGCTGACAATAGTAACTGCATGAAGACGATCCTCATCCAGGTCAGGCCCAGGTTTACTGGGTATACTGGGTGTCCATATACAAACATAGTTGCACAGTGGACCTACAATGTAGCAGAAGTGTGGCATAAATCCAGCTTCCAATGCTAACTGGCTAACTTCCTATGTATAGCACAGATGCACAAAAGGCATTTTGTCAGTGTCAGAGGCATCCCAGAAAACACTGGAAACACTCACTGGACGATTGGACACTGACTGGCTGACTTTATGGGTGTTCGATGAAGTTAGCATAACATCAGCAGCACCTGACATCACGGAAAAGCTGATCAGTGGGTTCTATATAACACAACGTATTATAACATGGGGTCAGATTGTATGGCCCCCAAACCTCCACATTATAATGAAATCAGACAGTGTATACTTGAAGTGGACTTGGAAATGAAATGAATCTAAATGTGGCTCAGTGGGTGGCACTCACACCTCTGAGTCTGAAAATTGTGGCTACGTGCCCAATTCCCTATGCAAATTTAAATTCACAGTTTGAGGGTGGAGTCCTGTAGCTCAGTGGTTAGAGCATTCGCCTCAACAACAACAACAACAAGATTCCATTTATTGAGCGCCTTTCACGTCGGGAGGACGTCCCAAGGCGCTGTACTGTGGAGTCCTGTAGCTCAGTGGTTGAGCACTCGCTTTGCAAGCGAGAGACCTGAGTTCAATTCCAGGCAGGGCGAAACCTTGGGCAAGTTTCCTTACTCCACACGCCTAATAATAATCCCTCCAAAACCCAAAACAATAATAAATTGGTCATTTTCAATCCACGACTGTTTGTGGGACATTGCTGTGCGCAATTGGCTGCCGCGTTCGCCCACAAATATACAGTCAATTCACTTTACAGTGTGTTCTGTGAAGCGCTTTGGGACGTCCTCCCGACGTGAAAAGCGCTATATCAAATGCAAGGATTATTATTATTATTATTATTATTATTACAGTTGGGTCAGGACTTGAGCAAGGGGGAAATGGTCAGGGTGAGGGGAGGGAAGGGAGGAAGCGAGGAGTGGGTAGAGAGTCGAGAGGGGAGCTGAAGGCACGGTCAAAGGGAAAGGTCTTGAGACCGGCCTTGAAGGAGGAAAGGGAGGAAGCAAGGCGAAGGCACTGGGGGATGGAGTTCCAGAGCCTAGGGTCTGAGAGGCTGAAGGCCTGGCCACCGATGGTAGGGCGGTTTGGGCGGGGGATGTGGAGCAGACCGGAGCCAGAGGAACGGAGGGTACGGGCAGGTAGGTAGGGGGATAGTAGGTCGGAGAGGTAGGAGGGAGCAAGGCCGCGAATGGCCTTGTAGGTGAGGATGAGGATCTTGAATTCGAGTGAGAGACCTGGGTTCAATTCCCTGCAGGGCGAAACGTTGGGCAAGTTTCCTTACTCCACAAGCCTTTGTTTACCTAGCAGTATGTAGGTATCCGGTTGTTAGTCGATTGGCCGATCGCTTTTCTTGGAGTAATAATTCCTTCAAAAAAATAAATTGGTCACTCAATCCACGACTGTTTGTGGCACACTGCTGTGCAGAATTGGCTGCCGTGTTTTGCCCACAAAATATACAGTCAATTCACTTTATAGTATATTCTGTGAAATGCTTTGAGACATCTCAAAAACGTCTTAAGGAGCTATATCAAATTATTATTATTATTATTATAGGCGCAACTGTAATCTATCCTGGTCAACTTTGAATAAAATTGGATAAATCCTCCTTTGAGATGTCTTCCCAATTTGAATTTATTTTTAGAAATTATTATATTGGAACCTAAATCTCTTAAGACACACCTTTGTTATCTGAAAAATCTCTGATAGTTCAGGGAAAGTACAGTAATTCACCACAACACCATCACTTCACTTATACACAATTAATAAGTTGCACACAATGCTTCTCCAGGAAGATCAAGACAATCTTGCAGTGAAAAGTGCTGATCAGAATATCTGCAGGAAACCAGCAAAGTGGAAAAGTTTCAAGTGTGACCTTTAGTAAGCGAGTTTGTATTAGTATTGCATCTGAAGATCTAGGTTACCGAGTGGCATAAACAGTCCTCAGACGATGAGCTCCCGAAGGAGGGTTAGCATCAGAACATTCAATCGTCTGCAATATGATCCAGAAATCAAGATCAATTTCACCAGGGCCCACAATTGGAAATGAGCATAACGTTCAGCGAATTCCTAGCATCAGTATGACTATGTCCTAGGCTAGAGGTCCTACATCTATTACATTTCAGACCTGATAAATAAAGGACTGTCCCTGGCCTTTGATTTGTTTGTAACATGTACAAGATATTCAAATGTTTCCTTAAGGGCACGCTGCAAAGACATAAAGCATGTGATTCATTGGTGTTTCTTAAGCTGTGTGTTGTTTCCAAGCAGCATGTCCTGACAGGAAGAATGCACGGTGCACACGTTTGCTGGGAAAGTCCCACCATAAGCCACAGAGGTCACAACTCAACATGATTCAGAAGCCAATTAGCAAAAATCATACCATATTAAATTGCTGAAAGTGACATGGTTTTACTTCCAGCAATAAAATGATGGGGGGTAAGAAGGCTGATTTGTATCTTCCATCTTTTAATCACTATTTTTCCTTTACTTTTTCCCAGGGGTAAGCAGAGTGCTGTAAACATGGAAACTCAGTACATGTATAAAATCATGGAAGCTACATTTCAGGAAGAGCCCATTCAGCCTATCAAGTCTAAATTGGTATCCCAAATCCATGCTCAAATCTATGCTCTCTTTCCCCATACCTTTTTATATATTTCTTCTTCAATTGTTTTTCCAATTCCTTATTAAATGTTGTTTTGGTCTCAGCCGCTTGTAGCCACTTGTAGCAAAACATTCCAGTTCCTGTTAACCCTCTGTATGAAAGTAAATCTAACCTTCTTAACTCTTCCACTGACAATGAATTTATAATAATAATTACAATCCTTGCACTTGATATGGCACCTTGTCATGTCGTTGAGATGTTTTAAAGTGCTTCACAGAACATATTGTAAAGTGGTGTGACCGTTTATTTTGTGAGTCAGTTTTTGCCAATTATTAACGATTTTCCAAACAGAGGGAATGAACGATCTATCCTCCAAAACCTTTCAGATTTTTGAAAAACAGTTTTAAAAACATCTCTAACCTTCCCTGTTGCAGTGGTACCAGACCTTATATAATAGGTGTTAAAAAAAATGTATGTTATTATAAGGTACGCCCCCTCACCCCCCGAATAAAGTAAATCATGCTTTGAGGATCAGTGGTCAGTGTGTGGTCTGGATGGCTTCCCACCCTGAAGATGTACATCCTGTGACGTGCTTTGAGACATCTTCCTATGTGAAATGCGCTATATCAAACGTAAGGATTTTAATCATTAGAACAGTGTAGTACAGCAGAGTTCTTATGTATTATAAATGGTCTCTTAAAAGCTATCAGAGCAGTGTAAATCCATGTACTGCTGAAATCGCCTTCTCTGAAATCAGATCACACTGGTCAGCCCAAATTTACCCTTCATTTAAATGAAGTACCTTATAAATCAGGCATAAAAGAATATCTTAGGGATGTGATAAAATATGTGCCAAAAAGTTGTTATGTTTAAGCCCAAGTCTGGAATTTGGACTCGTAAAGTCAGGACTGACTCTCCAGTGAATTGCTGGGAGTGTGACTTAAAACTGAGATTCCCATCTACCTGTTCCGGTAGATGTTAAAGATCCCTTAGCACTATCCAAAAAGAGAAGGGATTTTCTTCCAGTATCCCATCTATCAAATCCACAAATTTAGTCATTTATTTCATGCCTGCTTGTGGGACATTGTGATGCACAAATTCTCTGCCACGTTCATCCACAAAATACAGAATCACGATGCAGAATATCCATTGAAGAGATTTGAGATTGCTGCTCAACATGAAAGAGCTTTCTGCCCCATGTAACCTGAAGCTCTACCTCTGAAAGTGGACAAGAGAGGTGGGAGCTTTCTGTCACTGTAGTTTGATCAACACGAACAAACTTTCACTTTTTGAATGCAAACATACAGAATTCAGCAGCTCCACAAAACATTTAGACATTTCTGTTCTCACAAGTTACAGACAGAGAGACACTGTTTTTTTCCCCCGGAGATCAATATGATTAAAAAATGTGCCAATCGCAGTGGAAAACCGAAGAGGTGAAGTAATTTCCGATGTTGATCTAACACCTGATAAAAAGTTAAAAGTAAGGAGGTTGCGCTGTGACTGTCCACATACCTTATGCTTCCTTATCTTACCAAAATCTTTCTAATTTTGGCAATTTTTCAGCAAGCTATTCATAGATTAACCCCAACTGTGGATTAATGCTGTAGGTTACTACTTAATCAAAATAAAATGACACATATCTCCGCTTACTTCAACGGATTCGGGGAGGGGTTTCTTAGTGTGCACACTTTTTCCATTAATATTTCATAGCATTAGAATTTAAAGATCTCGCTGCTATTTATGGGCGTCTATCTCCTGCTTCCTCCCCCGCCACCCCCACAGGCTGACAGCAGCTGTGCTGCTATATCTACAATACAGAAGTAAAGATGTTTGATTAATGGAAAAGGATATTTAAGAAAAAGGATTAAAAAAAGCCCTACTCAGACCGCAGAACATTATATCTATGGAAACGGTAAAAATGCAACTTTAAAATTGTTATCACTGGCTTACACCTGTGAAACAGGAAATTGCTGGAGAGGGGATCCTTACAGTGCTTGCTTGTGATAATGCAAGAGTTGTACCACAAATTTACAGCCATACACTAAATCTATCACTTGGATTCACTTTGAGTTATTTGAAAGTTTCTCAACAAAAAGCAACCTAATCTCCTCACTTTCTCCCTTCTATCACTTCTATTTTACTTTCTGCACATTTGTCCAGCTCTGGTATCCAACCTCTCTCTCTGTCACCATTTTTCTTGTTTTTCTCTCTATTATTGATTCCCCAGCTGCTCCCTTTGCTCAGTGAATAACAGCCTGCTTTATATCGACCTGCTCCGCCATCGGTGGATAAGCTTTCAGCCATTCTGCCCCATCTCGCTGGATTTCCATCCTGAGTTCCAATTCCACTTTGCTCCATTCCTTCCCACCTTTAAGGCCCACCTTAAAACCTTTGATTATCGACATGTACTTTTTGTCACCTTTCCTTCCCCTCCCAAAACTTTCCTCAGCTTCTCCCAACCCCCAGCTCAGGCTTCAGTTGGCTCTTTGCAGCATTTTGAGATGTCTTCCCAACAAAAAAGTAGCGATATAAATGTAAAATTGTTGTTAATACTACGGTAATTGCTCCCTTCAGTTTTCCTCTTTTATTCTATGACTATTCGTAGACAATCCAGACAGCCATTTTGCATCCAGCAAATCCCATGAACTGCCATGAAATGAACGACCAACGTATCTGGAGGATTCTTGGGAAAAACTCTGTTTTCTGCTTGAATTATGTTATTAGATTTCTAACATCCACCTGAACAGACAGATGGTCTGTTTGTCTCATCTGGAGATGGCAGCTCCAACAATACAGTGCTTCCTCAGTAGTACACTGGAATTACTGTGAGTTTGACTATTGAAACATCTCCACCAGATCATAGCTTGTAACTCGCTCCTAAGAATCCAGTGTTCCCTACAACATTTATCTTTCATTTACGCAAAACGTATCCACATTATTTTTTTGAAATGTTAAGCAGTGAACTCTAGCTGCAGTAAACCACACATTCATTACACCTCCTTGAACATACACTATATACACATCAGAGAGCTCTTTCAAATCTAACTGGAGCTTTGATCATTGCCTTGTGTATCTTCAACTTACAGTTACACAGTTACCAATGTTACACTGTACCTGGTAACTACAGAGATCAGGTACTATAGTAACTTGTGTCACCCGCTAATTACAGAGAACAGCTACTATAATAACCGCAGAGCAGAAGTGAAAAACCTAAAATGAATCCAACAGACTAACCTGTGCCGACATATCGATCAACTTTGGAAGTTGTACTTTAAGTCCTTCGTCAGTCTTCAAGAAGTCCAACAAACTACCTGGAAGAGAACAAAACCCACGCACACATCATGTGAAGCCCTCGATGAGTCTCAGTTATATGGAGGCAGATGAACACAACTTTTTACATTAAGAACATGCATTTTCGAGTATATCATGTTAAAACATCTCAAAGCACTAGATAATAATTATTGTCAGTGTGGACACGGTTTTTGTATGCAAACACAGCAGCTTTTTTGCACACAAACAGACATGAGGCAAATGGCCAAATAAATATCACATCCAATGAGGCTTATATGTGCCCTTTACAGCTATGCCCAATTGGCTGCTGCGTTTCACCCACAAATATACAGTCAATTCACTTTACAGTACATTCTGTGAAGCACTTTGAAACATCTAGAAGACATGAAAAGAGCTATATCAGATGCAAGGATTATTATTATTTAGTTTGACGCAAACAGACAAACACAAATATTAAAAGCACTATTAGAGAACATGTGTAGAAAGGACATATTGTACAGGAGCAGTGATATCTATTCCAGCGGTACATGAATTTGGATAACTACTTGAATAACAAACTGCTACTGTACCTTTCATCATATATTCAGCCACAATATATATGGGTTCTTTTGTGACGACTGCATAGAGTTGCACCAGCTTGTCATGCCGGAGTGTTTTCATGATGTTGGCCTCTGCCAGGAAGGCTTCAGGAGACATGCTGCCCTCCTTCAGCGTTTTAACGGCAACCTTGGTGTCGTTCTTATAGATGCCTGTGTGAAGGTGAAAAGAAAATCAGTCTTGAAATTATAATAAAATAAATATTACATTTGATATGGTGCCTAGAACATCAAAATGCTTTAAAGCTCTTCACAGGGAATGGTTGTGAAGTGCTGTGACCAGACCACATATTGTTTAGTCAAATGCAGCAGCCAATTTGCACAAAGCAAACCACAAACCACAAACGGCCACGAAGTAACAGTCCAATTTTATCTGCAGGATTGTTGGTCAGGTCACATATATTTTGAAAAATTAACATAGGACCTTTAACATCCACCTGAGCAGGCAGACAGATCCTCTGACAATGTCAGCCAGAATGAGAGCTCAAGTTTTAACATAGGGCTTGAACCCACAATTTACTGAATCGGGCCAGTGCTACAAAATTTGCCAAGTTGACAGCCAAGTGTAGTAATGTCAGTGCAATACATTTACTCAAACCAAAAGCAAGAGAGCAACAGTCCATGAAGATATTGTAAAATGCACAAGAGTAGAGAAATGACAACAATTTGGAGTCTGAATAGTGCAATGGGTTATTAAACTATCCTTTCAGCTCAAAGCCATGGGTTTGAATTTAGTCCAGACCGGCAAATTAACGGAAATGAAAAATACACAGAAACATACCCAAAGAATTAAAAAATTAACAGTAAGCCCAGGTAAATGACAGCGAGATACTGATAAAAAGGTAAACAAAGATTGCTAATAAATTGTGTCCTCATTCTTTTCTTTCCCCACTGGATATGAAAGGATTGCACTTTAAAAGAGCAGCACAAACACAATGGGCCAAATGGCCTTCTTTCTTCTGAGCTATACATTTCGATGGTTCTGTAGTTTGCAGCTTTAACAGAATACAACAGGTATAAATGAGTGCATGAGTACCCAAAGATGGTGGAGTAGACACGAGGGAAAGCAGTGAAGACAAATTGCACTAGCAAATTCTGAAGGGAATTACATAGCTAGTTGGGAAAGGAATTGGTGGAGGATATGAATAATGGAGGAGTTTTTTTATGATTGATTGACCTCAATTCACCATTAATAGACCTCAGTAGCCTTTATCGGTTCTGTACATTCGTATTTCCCAATTAAAGAGAGCATTTAAAAGGAGCTGTATCCCACTGGGTGAAATATTATGTTAAGTAAAAGAACTCTAATATTATCCTACACTGAAATTGAATAGTAAATCTGCAATTACACTCTTCTGTGAGTGATGTGACAGTATTAATCTTCAGCAAGGTTATTCTGGAACTTTTTACATCCTCAATCCACATTTGAGTACTTTTGAACTATCATCTACATCACTGTCATTCTATTGACATTAAACAATAAAAATGAGTTACTTAACCACTGAGCAAAAATTTACTGATTCAAATCCTATGCTGTGTTAGATGATCGCCACCAAACTAATAGTAAGGTTGCCACAATTGGCCTGAGTTCACAAGTGAGGAGTGGGGGTAAGGGGAGGCATTATTGGTATTCTGTGATTCCTGCTTCATATATGTTTGTGTATGTGTACGTGTAGACATCCCATGTGAACATTATCTAGCTCATCTCTGATGCCCTTCACAGGGTATGTATCTATCCTGCATAATGCTTTGGAAGAAGTCTACTTATCCTCAACTAATTATCACATCAAATGCATTATGATATGAAACACCCTTAATGTATTCCCATTTATTAATTACAGACGGTTGGTAAACGTTTCATCCCAGACCCAGCTGTGTGGATCAGCCTTTTCATGCTTGTTTACAAAGGCACTAGCTTTGAATGTTCACTGGCTCGTGGCACTTGATCACTGCTTCACAGGATACCCACTTGATTCAGTCAGGATCCTGTTCTAACTGTGAACTAGGAGGCTTTCAACACAGAGATTTCTTTGAGTGCAACTATTGTACTGAGCCCAGGAGATGGGACTGATTCCCTCATTTTAATGCAGCTAAAACACAATGCCATCTGAATTCAGTCAGTATCACTTTGAAGCAGCACTCAAATAACTTAAATATCAAAGATGGTGTGTTGAATTTTGTAAAACAATAACAAAATGTCTAATTCAATTTGGCTGCATAGGGAAGGCTTTACTTATCATCAGTAATTAACAAATGGGACTAAATAGATCATAATGCTATCTCAACAAACTTTTCATGAAAACACTGTAAATGTTACACTAATGCTGTTGATGAAAATAAATTTGCTGTGTACCTTCATCAACAAATCTACTAAATAGTATCTCTCTTCCCTTGATTATGTCATGGAAAGATGTTGATAAACCACTAAAATTACACTTTGAGTTTTGAATTGTGCATTTAATTCTAGCAACCACAATGCAGTTATATCAATAAATATTCATGTATAAACAGAGCTTGTGGCTTTTGAGCAATTCAAATTCTAGGTATGCGCTTTACATGTGCTCTTGTGCCTCAAAAGCAGCCTGACAGCCAATGAAAACTTAAAAGATCATTAAGCCCACTGATAAGCCCACATCATAGATACAAGCCTGTTAAACTCTTGACACAATTTTCCCATCTGAGGGGGAAAGTGGGAGGGAGGAACATGCAAATACATCAGTCTCTGGCCGTATATTTTAGTTCCAGTTCCCAAGACATCAGCTAAAACTTAACATCAAAATATATAGTTTACTATGTATGTATTTCTGTTTAATGGGAAATGTTTACCTCTTTAATGCAGCGTTAAACAGTTACCACAATTCCATTTTAGAAATACTGCAGGAAATGTAGTTTGCCCAATTTATCTTGTTCACTATAGATTCCAAGACTCACCCATCCAGACCTCGCCAAACTGCCCAGCACCTAGTTTCTTTGTCAACTTCAGGGATTCCCTTGGGATTTCCCACTCATCGGGCCACCACGGCTTCTGAGGCATAGCTGTTGGGCATGGTCTAGTCAGGCGTTGGCACAGACCATCCGAGTTCTCTGAAGAAACAGTGTGACAGATTGTCATCCATTAAAGATCATGTTCAGAATTCAGCTGTTATAATAGGCATTACATGCACACATACACTTACTTGAATAGTACTGAACAAGTTGCTTTAAGTTGATGAATGTGGCCCTGGGAGTGATATAATAACCACCACGGTCAAGTGATCTAATCTTGTAATGCTTCACTATATCACCGTGCTTAGAGTCACAGTCCTTCACAGACAAAGAAAAGGCACCTGCCAAGACAGTGATAAAAAGATGGTTAGAAGTCATCTATTTAGCCTTAAACAATTCAATTGGATAAAGTGACAACTTGATGCGAAACAGCAAAATGACATGTCCAGCTGGGTCCACGGTAACTGTTAGGGCTATAACTTTCAGGACTGAGGACGTTTATACAACTCAAAAACTGCCTTGGCTTGTTGTGGACATGTCTGACTTTGACACTTGTGTCTCTTCAGAACCAATTTAGCCCCAGGAAGAATCTGCTTACTTTTTCATCTCCTCCCATTATCCAATTATAATGCTATGTTCCAAGCTAAAGTCTAGAAATCTCACAACGGGGGTCTACACTATATTTGATAGATACATCATAATAAATCTGATTCAGATTTTGTAGCTTGCTTGTGATATGTAATACTTCAGTGTAAATAACTCATTGCCACAAAAACAATTCTGTATCTGTGATTTCCTTGAGACACAAAATTACATGGAAAATGTACAAACCTTTACTGGTTTCACTCTCCCGAATTAAAAAAGTCCCCGACTTATTGCCTGATGCTAGAAGTTGCCTCTCAGCATTTTTGCGACTTATTTCTCTGAAGAACCATCTGCAAAACAATAAACAGGAAACCATTTATAGAGGCTCCGCTTTCAAAAATTCATTTTCATGGTGGCGCAAAGCCAATCTGACATTTTCTTTCAAGTTATGTTTGGTGAAAAATATTGATCTATATTTAGTACAAAACCAAACAAACGCCCTGCCTGACGTCTGCCAGCTGTCTGTTTGTCCGATTGTAGTTTCCTTACATATTCTTCTCCCAAATCTCCTTTCACAATGTTGTTTTTGTTCCATGGGATCCAAAACAAATGGCACACTCCACTGGCAGGTCAGTGTACTTTGGACTGTTAACATACTTTATTCAGCTAAACCTTATCCCTGAAGATGTTTATTCATCAACTGCAATGATTTTATTAACACTAATCAAATTGTATTTCTCATAAGCAGCATTAAAGAATGTTGGACCCAGCAAATGTGTTGGTTTTCTTTTAAGCATCTTTACTGTAACAAACTGGGTTTATTTAACCTTAGAATAAATTGGGTGCCAACCATTTAATCAAAAAAGTGTGTGTGGCATAGTGTAATCTTTAAGATTCTGAAGGGACTAGATAATGTAGACCATGATAAGCTGTTCTATCTTGTACTGAACCGTAGAACCACAGGACAAGGCCTGCAATTGAAAGGAGGTAAATTCAGAACAAATCTGAGAAAACACTACTTCAGTAATCGAGTTGTAAACTAACGGAACAGGTTCACTAGGGAGACAGTGGAATCAAAAAGTGCTGTTTGTTTCAAAAACAAATGAGATAGAATTTTGCTAGAAAATAATATCTCGGGATACAGTATATAGTTTGGGACACGACATGTCAAGCAACTGTCAGGATTGTGGAAGGTGAACTAGATGGACCTTGGTCTTCTTTTGCCGAGCAAATTCTTATGTTCTTATGTTCTTAATTGAAAACAGGGTAGAATTGTCACAGTCAGTAAAATATCTCCATAACATTTTTTTCCATAAGTCATCTCCATAAGTCAGAATGATAAGATAGCTCAATGCAGTAAAGACAAGGCTGCTTCACAAGTGGAAAGATTCAAATCTTCCTACTAATCCAATAGGTCTTGTAATTTTACAATTTGAAGTAGGCTTTCCACTGAAACACATATATTTTTAGTGGGTATTTTTGACAGGGTGGGGGTGGTTCAACCAACAACAGGTGGAAATAAATTAGAAAACTTTGCAGAAGTGAGACAATGCTGCTCTCTAAACAAAGTAGGTAATAGATGAGAAAGACATACATTTCTATTTCTAATGAATCCACCCTTGCCATGAAGTTACTGGGAACAAATCCCTCCTGGCCAGTCGACAATAACATCGCTTTCCACCATTCTCCTTTTCTGAAAAGAAACAGTCACAAGCATTAGTAATCAATAATCACAAAGGCAGTTATTTTTAGTGAATTAAACAGTCACGTTTTGAGTTTACCGTTCCCATTTGTGGGTAATATTGGATTATTCAGTAATAAAAGGAATATATCTTTACTTGAGGTTAAAGCTTCTTCCATTTTTACATCAGTTGTTTTTGTACAATCTATTGTATCATTACAAAATGTAAATTATTAAGCACTCTATGTAAATATTCAATATGTGATACAGATTGAGTATGTGGCACTCGGCAGTTTGCATAAAGCTTCATTTTCTATTATGTGAATAATAAAGCTTCCAATTATCTAAGAATGCCTAAGCTTCTTTAACAATCTCTTGCTGCTTGAGAACACTTTCTTCTATTACTATTTCCATATTTTTTTATATTCCTGTACTGTGTTTACTATTGTTGAACACATCACCATTTATCAAATCAACAGATGGATCACTGCTACATGACAGTACACAGACATTCCTTTCTCAGGAATATTTTAATACATGAACATGAGATAAACATATTTACAGAAACATCTATGCTGCACAAATATCTCAGAAGGCTTTATTTACAATTATTGGCCAAATATATAGCACATATATCATGCACACTTTATAAATATCAGAATCTAAAATTCACAAGATTTGCTGTAGCATTTCACTTGCTGGCATTTATGCAGATTTTGACAGCTTGGGATCCGTGATTCACATTTGTTGTGTTGTGAATGTTATGAGTATTTGCAAACAGAAAGCTCCTTCAGTAATTTGAATCCAGTGGCAAAATATCACATTTTAGACCACATATTCAATTTTAGAGAGTTACCTAAAGGGACTCTATATTCTTGTTTTCGTTAAAGAATGTTTGGCCACCATTTTTTAAAATGTCTTTGCAAAGGGACAAAAAATGATTAAAAAGTATTGTTCTATTCCCTTCTTTACAAACAAAGTTTTCAAACAATTTCTGATCATGACACTGTATGAGGTGGCCACAGTATCGTATTCAAGTCCAGAGATTTCTGTTGCCACTACTTGCCAAAAAGAGAGAAAAACAAATGACTTACACTGATATAACTTTGAGTTGGTCGCCTTTCTTAAATTGCAGGTCATAATCATTGGTTGGCTCATAATCATACAGAGCTTCAACTATCTTGTCCACTAAAACCAAAGACATAAAACAATGCATTTTGTTGAACTTGTAAGAATGTTACTATCCATTTGTTTAGGGTTAAAACAGTATTAAATGATAAATCGATTTGATCTTCATCCAACATTTGGACCATTCACACGCAACTTTTAGGGATTCTACGCATAGGGCGTTGCTTCAGTGACTCCTACCTAGTGTTTCCATGGGTGGATGGGAGATTTATGTGTATCTATTTTCACACATATATGCATGAATGTGCCTCAAATTCATTATGTGAAGAAATTTGGTGGTGTTAAATAAGGAGACATTATTAAGAGAATTTGGGGTACATTTAGTCAGAATAATGTTATAATAACCGGTTGTGTCATCCATGCTAATATGCCTCTGTGAGAAGCAGATGTCTTGATGAAGAGAATTGCCAGCTTTCTGCCTGAATTTATGGGCAAGTGAACCAGTCCCAACTCTGATAAGAGCCCAGCTACCTTTTGGCATCCATATTCTCCCCACAAGGACTTGTCATCCATTGGCAACTTTGTTGTTTAACTTACTGACTGTTGTGGGTTCTTGCTCAAATAGGAAGCTAGGGGATTATTGAGCTAGATCCTAAATTAATACTCAAATAGTTGATATTTCACCTGTACTATTGAATAAATTAAAAAATAATAATTCTTACCTTTGCTACAATGCCTTTCACATCAGGAGAATGTCCCAAAGCACTTCACGAGTGAAAGGATATAGCATAAAGTGCAGACACTGTGTGTTGAGTGGATAAATGCAGTAGCATTTTGTGCACAGCAGTGTCTCACAAACAACCATGAAGTGAATGACCAATTTTATTCTAGGAGAATGTTGGCCAGGACACCTTGAAGCACTCCCTTGTCTTTTCAACATTAAACTGAGGTCCCACTTGCCTGTTCAGAAGGACGGTAAAGATACTATAGTATTATTTGAAAAGAGGAGGAAGTTTCTCCAGGTGCCCTGGCCAACAATCTCCCAAATAAAAATAAATGCTCATTCACCTGCTGTGTACCAAATTGCCTACTCTATTTGCCATCAAATACAAAGTCATTACACTTCACAGAAAACATGGTGAAGCATTTTGGGTGTTCCTGACGTGGTAAGGCACAACATCAAATACAAGGATTATTATTGTTATTATTAACAGCTGAAACAGGCTATCAGGAAGGGTGGTTGAGGCCATCATATTACATTCAGTTAAGAAACTGTCAGTATGCCATTAGAAAGATGGTAAGATTGGTATTGTGGAAGCATAAAATCAAATGCCCCATAAGGCCTTCTTTATCTAAACCTCCCTTGTGATTTTGTGAAAACAATCACTCCACATCCAATCTTCATGTGAATCTCTTCAAAGTGTGTGAATAATGGACCTACAAGTAATTACCAAGAGGAAATCAAAATCATCCCTCAACCATAGACCGATAGCTCACAAAAGAGAAATTTCATCCATCATTGGCAATTACTTGTTAATATTTAATATAGTCAAACAAATCCATAATGTTATCATGTTATAGACAACAACAACAACAATAACTTGGATTTATATAGCGCCCTCCACACTGGACGGCGTCTCAGAGTGCTTTACAGTAACGGATCCCGGGACAGAGCCAGAGGAAGGGGGGAAAGTGACCAAAGGCGCGGTCGAAAAGAAAGGTCTTCAGTAGAGACCTGAAAATGGGAAGGGAGGGAGTGAGACGAAGGGAGTGAGGAAAGCAGTTCCAGAGCCTCGGAGCACAGTGGCTGAAGGCACGGCCGCCGAGGGTGGAGCGAAAGGGGAGGCCAGACCCGGAGATACAAAGGCAACGGGCACTGTATTGAGGAGAGAGGTCAGAGAGGTAGGGGGCTGCAGGGACTTGAATACAAGGGTGAGGATCTTGAAGTTGGTCCTCTCTGGGATAGGCAGCCAGTGCAGTCTGGCAAGGACTGGGGTGATCGGGGAGTGGAGTTTGGTGCGGGTGAGAATGCGGGCGGCAGAGTTTTGAATGATTTGGATTTTATGAATGGTAGTGGAGGGGAGGCCGGCGAGGAGGGCGTTTGAATAGTCCAGCCGAGAGGTGACAAAGGCATGGACCAGGATTTCAGTGGCTTTTGGGGAGAGGTATTGGAGGAGACAGGCGATGCATCGGAGGTGGAAGAAAGCGCTGCTGGTGAGGGACCGGATGTGGGGAAGGAAGGATAATTGAGGGTCGAACCTGATGCCTAGGTTGTATACGGGTTCAGAGAGTTTTAGGGGGAGGTCAGGTAGGTGGAGGAGGTGAGAGCCATGAGATTTTAGACGTTGGCAAGAGCTGAAGAGTATGGTTTCCGTCTTGTCAACGTTCAGCTGAAGGAAGTTTGCACTCATCCAGCCCCTGAGATCTGACAGGCAGACTGACAGAACATCAGGGGACTGGGAGTCGCAAAGAGAGGTGGAAAAATAGAGTCGGGTATCATCTGCATACATGTGGAAATGTACCCTATGTCTGTGGATGGCATCCCCAAGAGGGAGCATGTAGATCAGAAAGAGGAGGGGCCAAGGATGGATCCTTGGGGTACCCCGTAGGTGACCGGGTGAGAGTGGGAGGAGAAGCAGTTTGTGCAGACGTACTGCTGGCAGGTTGTGAGGTAGAACTCGAACCAGGTGAGTGCAGTCCCACTGAGGTGGATGACGGAGGAAAGGCAGTGGAGGAGGATGGCATGATCGACTATGTCGAACGCGGCGGAGAGGTCCAGGAGGACAAGGAGGCAGAGGGAGCCCTGGTCACAGATAGAGAGGATGTCGTTTGTGACTTTCACAAGTGCAATCTCTGTACTGTGGGCAGGGCGGAAACTGGACTGGAGGGGTTCGAAGAGGGAGTGGGAGCTGGATGACAAGTAATTTGGTGGGGAGGGGGTCGACGCAGCAGGTGGTGGGTTTCACGGTGATGATGGTGGGTGAGAGGGAGAGATGGGGAAGAAGGAATGTAAAATGGGGGTGGTAGATTCAGGAGTGTGCGCACACAACAAAAAAAAAAAAACCTCTGTGCCCACCCTAGGGCTCGCATCAGGGACCACAATGGTCTTGTTGGGTTGGCTGCCCCAGCCCCAGCCTGTGGGCTAATGCCGTCCACCTGACCACTCGCTCCTGGTCCCCGCATGCGCATTATGACTGCGCTCTTACCCAAGCCCCCTCACCCCCTCCCTCCCTTCCCCCTCCTCCCTCCCCACTTTGCATCTCTCCCGCTCTGTCATCCCTCCTCTCCGTCCACCTCGCCTTCTATCCCCACTTGACCCTCCCACAACCTTCCTCTGTTCCAGCCTGGGAATCCTCCGCCGGGCTCACCGTGGCACTCGGCGTTGGCTGTCCAGCAGCAGCCACACCGACTGCCCCATTCCTCACCACACTTGCCAGCCACCCCGGACACAGACCCGGGGAGCCAACCTCTCCTCCCTCATCCCCATCTCCCCCACCCCTGCCTCACAACCTGGACCCCCCTCCCTCCCCACACACCCTTCTGTCAACCGCTCCCTCCATATCGGACTACAAAACGTCCGCTCCCTCTGTAATAAGGCCCTGGTCATCAACGATCTCATCCTTGATGAGAGCATTGACATCATGGCCTTAACTGAAACCTGGCTCACCCCAAGCGAAACCTTCCCCCTCACGGAGGCCACACGACCGGCGACACCTCCCACCACATCCCTCGCCCCAACCGCTGTGGTGGTGGTGTAGCCCTTATCTCAAGGACACCACTTGCCCTACCCCCTACTCCTCTGGCTCTTTCCCCTCTTTTGAGCACCACACCCTCTCCCACCCCTCCCATCTCTCACTCAAAATCCTCCTCCACTACCGGCCCCCTAAAACCTACCCACCTTCATCTACGACATTTCTACTCTCCTAACATCTCTCTGCCTCTGCTCTGATCGCCTCATCATCCTGGGTGACTTCAACCTGCACTTCATCCCCTCCTGCTCCACCTCCTCAGACTTCTCCTCCTTCCTCTCTTCGCTCAACCTCTCCCTCCACATCAACTCCGCCACTCACAGTCACGGCCACCCACTCGATTTGGTGATCGCCCGGGTGTCACCATTACCAACAAGGCCATCTCCGATCACCACTTCATCTCCTTCACCACTTCCACCCCCCTCCCTACCTCCACCAGACCCACCACCATCTTCTACCGCCCCTGGAAGAAGTTACCCCCACAATCCCTAACCGCTGCCTTGGAGTCCTCTGAACTCCTCTCCTTCTGGCCTTCATCCCTCACTAACCCCTCTTCTGCTCGCACCCTCCTCCACAACACTCTCTCCTCCACACTCGACACTCTTGCCCCCATCACCTCCCATACTGTCTCTTACTCTCGCTCCTCCCCCTTGTTCACCACCCACCTCCGCTCACTGAAGAGCCAGGTGCGGGCCGCTGAACGCACCTGCCTCAAATCTGGCCTAACGGTCCACCGGCAAATCTGGCTGGACCTCCTCAAAACCTACCGCTCCACTCTAGCCTCGGCCAAGTCGTCCTTCTACTCCAGGATAATCCTGGAGGCGAAGAACAACCCCAGGCTTCTGTTCTCCACCACATCCCGACTCCTCCGTCCCCCTCGCCACCCCGCGCAGGTCATCTCCTCCAACCTTCACTGTGAGGAGATGCTAGATTTCCTTGAATCCAAAATCAAGGGAATCCGCTCGGCGGTCACCGCCCCTCCAACTTCCACCCACCCCCACCCCTTCCCTCCCACACTCCGACTCCTACCCATCCTCCCCTACACACCTTCGAACCCGTTTCCCCACCCTCTGTCACCAACCTCATCCTGTCCTTGAAACCCACCACCTGCTCCCTGGACCCCATCCCCACTCCACTCCTTATCTCCCAGCTCCACCTCTTTGCCCCACTTTTCACAGAAACCATTAACCTGTTCCTCTCCTCTGGCTCTGTTCCCATTCCCCTCAAAACTGCCACCATCACTCCCACTCTGAAAAAACCCTCCCTTGATGCGTCACAGCTATCAAGCTACCGGCCCATCCCCAACCTCCC